CTCCCGCTATGGAAATAGTATATGATAAAACAAGTGTGGTAAACGGCGTTTGAGTCACGAGTTTATTTGCAATGAGCGGAGCGCAGCGGAGCGAGTGTTTAATAAACGACTGACTTAAAAAGTTTACCAAACGTGTTGCATAGTATACTTTTTCTACGATCCTTAGTTTTTGGGTACATTTTTGCACAACACTAATATATTTACTGACATGACCGTCAGAACTGACAAATGTCAAAATTCAAACCGTGCGGTAAAATCTCCGAAAACATCTGATTGCCACCAAACCTATGCGATAAAATCCCGAAATGTCCGAAGGGGCTCGGATCCGTGCGCCAGATGGTAAACTAACGCTTCCCGCACGCTAGATCAGTGTATAATTAGGTATTTTACAAAAGGGAGTAGAAAATAGTATATGATAAAAGAAGTATGGTAAACGGCATTTGAGTCACGAGTTTATTTGGCACGAGCGGAGCACAGCGGAGCGAATCATTAATAAACGAGTGATTTAAAATGTTTACCAAACGTATTGCATACTATACTTTTTCTACAGCCGTTAGTTTTTGGGTACATTTTTGCAAAACTACACTGTCTAAATTCAAACTGTGCGGTAAAATCTCCGAAAACATCTGATTGCTCCCAAACCCATACGGTAATATCCCGGAAATGTCCGAAGGGGCTCGAATCCGTGGGAAACTGACGTGTTAAAGTGACCCTTCCCACACGCTAGATCGGTGTGTAATTAGGTATTTTGCAGAGGAGAGTAGAAAATAGTATATTATGCAACAAGTGCGGTGAACGGCATTGAAACGAGCGGAGCGCAGGGGAGCAAGAAACGAGTGAGTTAAAAAGTTTACCGAACGTGTTGCATACTATACTTTTTCTACGACCGTTAGTTTTTGGGTACATTTTCGCAAAACAACACGAATACATTCACTGACATAACCGTCAGAATTGACAAACGTCAAAATTCAAAGCGTGGGAAATATCTCCGAAAACATCCGATTGCTCGCAAACCCGTGCGGTAAAATCCAGGAAACGTCCGAAGTGACTCGGATCCGTGCGAAACGAAAAAGTGACGCTTCCCGCACGCTACATCGGTGTCTAATTAGGTATTTTACCGAAGGGAGCAGAAATTTTTTTTTCTTATTCCTTTTGCTAATTAAACTGTGCAGAATAAATAAATTCAGTTTTATTTTGCAAAAGAAAACATTTTATTATTAATATCGTATAAGCGTAGTTATAAAATTAAACAATCAAATTTTAATAAATATTTGTTTTAGCGCAGCAAAATGAACAAAAGCAATTACAACTATTTGTTCATGACAACCTTTTCTCTTACTCTTTGTAACAAAAGAACCTCATTGTAGGGTACGTTAGGATGTCCTCCAAGGTTAAATGGATCACTTGCTCGACCCATAATTTCAGTATCTGGTAAATAACAATCATTAAATAGCATATTTGTACAGTTTGAGGTTGTGTTGTTGGGGACTCAAATATTTAGCTTGAACAAAATAAGTTGCTTATACAGAACAACTGGAACTAAAAAAGTTGCTCCTATGGAGGTATTTTTTTATTGCGGTTGTGCCTTAAAGTCAGTACGCCAAATAAATAACATTCTTTAGTATACGCGTGTCGGGACGAGGGCGCAAGGGCTTCGGATATTCCCCACGAATCTAGAAAAGAGCGTGCGACTCGAAATCCATTACGCAACGGAGGACTCGAAAATGTCACGGGACCGAGAGTCGGAAAAAAACCGGTCACGCGCGCCCGTGAAAATCTCAAAGGACCGCGCCTAGGTACGGGTTTTTTTTTCTCTTTCTCTCGCGCGCGAGAGAGAGAAGACCACGCACCCATCAATGAAAGAAAAGGCGAGAAGCGACGACGCTGCGTCTGGCCCGGACTCCGAGGCGACAGCGTGTCTGGCGTGACCGTGGCGGTGTTGCCGCTTGCTCGCATTCCATCGCCCAGGACCGGCTTGATCGTAAGTGGCGGACGATTCACACGTTCGTAATATCCGAAACGGGCCGATCGACGGGGTGTTCAGTGGGAGATGGCCGTATCTGTCCAAATGTTAATTTGTCCAATCGTATCGGGGCGTTCGGGGCTCGTTCGGGGCAGCCCGGGAGGGAGGCCGGCAAAGCGTTTCCGTGGAGAAAGAATTTTCCTCGATGGAGAATAATTACGATTTTTTTATATTACAATGTTTTTAAAATACATCTGTTAATATTTACAGTGACTCAGCTCAAAAGATTCAGTTGCATTTTAACTAATCAAGGAGCCAAACCTATCATAAATGTGTTTGTTTAAAAGTTGCCAATTATTTTAAATAAATCATTGCGGTCATAGTAAAATTGTATTTAGGTACCTTTTACTCCGAAAATTGCATCCGGCGATTAGCACGAATCATGAAAGGTTAATAACAACACAGCTAAAATTATTGATGATTTTTAAATTCATTCAATAAGCAATATGATTTATCAATATCGTTATCCAACGACTATTTTGAGGATATGATTGTCAATTAAAACATTTTGGATTATGCAAAAAATTAACCAGCTACCTAGCATACCCAAGAATAAAAAAGTAAAAGTTACCTAAGTAGTTATCAGGATAACAAGTATGAAAAAATTGACATTGGATTAAAATTTTAGAAAAGAACAACGCCCATTACTTAAAGATACCTATTTTAAAAGGTGAAATTGTAACATAAGAATCCCTTAGGTGCCAATGAAATACCTACCAACACCTTCATTGTAGTATGTTTAATAGAAGTTCCAGGTTGTTTTTAGCTTAAACAATAGCGTGAATTGTTGTTCTTTATATCATGTCCAATAACCTCTACTTCATTTCATAAACTGTTAATTTTATTTTGTTTGTAGTTGTAGTATACAGTACACTGTATAGTGGAAACCACCTATATAGATAATAAACCGAAGTAAAATAATTTTACAACATTTTATAAATTAATTTGCTATCTGAGCCGTGTTTACACTTGTATTTTAACCTCTTTCTTTATTTGGATAAATGTTTCTTTCGGCCGCTTTCGGGTGTTCGTCAATGCACATTATAGCATTTGTGGTTTTCCCGTTCATTGGCCGACTAGTCAGGTTTATTCGTCAGCTACGTATGGGCAATGTATACAGGGTGTTTAAATAATTAAAGGGACGATTTTTGGGTCTATTTTGAATAGAAAACTTCATATAAACATATGCCCTGGTAAAGTTTTCAAAAATAAAATAAATTTTTTAGCGTTTATAAGAAATGAGTAAAAATAAAACTATAATTTGTATGCATCTATTTGAAATCACATTCCGATAGATCAATATTAGTTGATTATTTTGTTTTCTTTAGGCTTATGTAATGTCTGATGCCGATTTCTTCAATAAATAATAATAATAAATATTTTTTAAAACTTGTGACCTTTGGATCGAACGAATTTTTTATTTTTGTTTTCTATTTCTCCCTCTATCTCAAAAGCAGAGTTAGATAGTAGATAGTTAGTTAGATCATATTATTACGTTATAGGGCGTTTAAGAAAAAAAAATTTTTTTTCCTTTGCATCTAGGAGACAAGGTCGGTTGGGAAAGTTTTTAAAATCTATGTCTCCATATATTATTAAAAGTATACCATTTTATATTCAAAGAAATACGCAACATTTTCATATGTTCCAATTATTTTTTTTTACAATTTAAACAGTCATCATGGAAAAATGTTTACTTTTTTTTATTTTGTCGTTTGCATTTTGTCTGAATATAATAATAATAATAATAATAATATATTGAATGAACTAATATATATATATATATATATATATATATATATATATATATATATATATATATATATATATATATATATATATATATATATATATATATATATATATATATATATATATATATGTTTCATTACAAAAATATATAGGTTTAGCTCGCATCTTAAAGATTATCTCTTTTAAAAATAATCCGAGTACGGTACTGGATTCTGTGTATGATTCCGTTTTCATCGTCGCATTTCGATACGAGGTATTTAAAATACAAAGAGCCAACGCAATATCCAAATTTTCCATTTCTCTTGGTATCTCGAAAACTGAGTTAAATTGAGATACCCCGCGAAAATGGGCATTCCCTTTTCGTCATCTTATTACGATGTAGAGTTATTAAAATACTAAGGGTGATCGAAATGACCACATCTTCTATTGTTTTTTTTGTATGTAAATCTCGGTAGACAGATAAAAGGTGCGTATATTTTTAACTATCAACTTTTTCATGGGAGAAACGGGCGTGATTGATGGGATTTCATTTCAGGTTTTGTTTGTTGTTTTTACTGCGCATATAGTTGCTCGTCGGTATATACGTAAATTACATAATTCCAATAAACTAGAAACGAGAGAAATGGGGATGTTTGTTTGAAGTGCGGAATGAAAATAAATAATTTGCATTTGGGGCTAATTTAGGATACATACACAACGGAAACGCGAACCCTGAAATCAGTAACAGGACAAATATTTAGGATGAAAGAACGATTAGCAGCAAAAATTGCAAAGAAAAATGAACCAGACCCAACCCGATCTCCTGGACGACCACCTCCAAGATGGTATGAAAGCATCGCAAATACTGGAAAACCCTCGATGAAAACACAGGGCTCAGTCCTAACGTAAGAAGAAGTTTATTGACTTGTTTTATAATAGTCGTCATTATATTTTTGCAACTAACTAGACTTGCGCCGAACGACCGATCGTCCCGTTTCTCATCAAGTCACGCACAAATTCGGGTAAAAAATTAGCCGGCAATTTTACGTGCCAAATTTTTTGCAATTTAGTCGGTGTGGCGAGTTTTAGCAGAGATCGAAATATCGGGACGAACGCGCGGATCGTCCGTCACTTGCGATCCCGTCGCGGCGCGACGCGGCAACAGCGCGCTCGCCCGCAAACCCGTTTCAGAAACGGATGTCGCGCCACCCGGGGCGCCTCTCTTTCTAGCAACGACCGACGTGTCTAATAAGGTGCCAGTCGGTCTGGCGGCGTTAAAAGAGGACGGACGCGCGGTCTCGCTACTAGCGCGTGGAGTGGGGGGACCAATTCTCCGAACGTCGCGATCGAAAATGGTCGCCATGTAGAATCGGGTCGGTCGTGCGTTCGCGTGTTTTCCTCTTAATTTCGATTAGTTTTCGTTTCGTGCGATGGCCCACGGACTGCCGAAACGCGGGGTGACGCGGTGTCGCGCCGAAGGCAAGACGGGCGTCGGCTCCAGGCGCATATTCTCGCCGCAGTTCAAGCTCCAGGTGCTCGACTCGTATCGCGGGGACGCGGACTGCAAGGGCAACCAGCGGGCCACCGCCCGCAAATACGGCATCCACCGTCGCCAGATACAAAAGTGGCTCCAGGTGGAGAACGCGTTGAGGAGCGGCGTCAAGCAACAAAGCAAGAGCGCGGCCGCGTCCTTGAACGTCGACAGACAGCCTGACGACGACGAATCGCGAGTTCCGGCGCACGCGGAGCCATCTAGCGGCTGGCAGCGCAACGTCGCACCTTTGGATCTGTCGTTCAAGAGGCGCGAGTCGGATACGCCGACGGCCGCGACGTCGCTGGGGGTGGCCCTGCCGTCGCCGCAGCCGCCGCCGCCGCCGCCTCCGCTCGCGTACCAGCCGGACGTGTGGGACTTGTCCACGAAGCCGCTCAGGCCTCCCGTGAAGCTGTTCAAGCCGTACCTGGACGTGGAGGAGGAGGCGGCGCCGCCGCCTCCGCCTCCCAGGTCGCCCCAGCCCGTGTACTTGTGTCAGCAGGTGTATTACGTGAACGACAACAACAACTACGACGCGTATACGTTGCACGAGCTGCAGCCCAAGAGCTATTATTATCGCCACCATCAGCCGTATTACCCCGAGTGCTGCGCGTACGAGGAGACGCCGCTGAAGCAGCGCCAGTCGTACAGCCTCGACTTCAAGCTGAGCGCGATCGACTGCTACTATCGGGACGCCGCGTGCCGGGGCAATCAGAGGGCGGTCGCCGCCAAATACAACGTGCACCGGAGGCAGGTGCAGAAGTGGCTGAAGCAGGCGGACGAGCTGAAGTCGCGGAACGAGGTGCTGCAGCACTCGCACGCGGTCAGGTAGACCCCGCCGCCCGATTACAAAGTTTGTGTGCCTTGTAGACGTAAGGATATTCCGTGCCAAAATGTCGCCCCGTCCTGGGGACAGATATTTACGCTAGTTTTTTAAACGTTTTGCTGCAATTACAATGTGATTCCTAGGTGGTAAACTTTTTTTATCGGTCGGTGCGTAGAGAGGCGGCCCGGTGTATTTTTTAAGCGACTTTTTACATAACAAAGATGTACAAATTATCAGCCGTCAGAGCGGAATGTAATATTTTATATCAGAAAGTTTTATATTATTAAAAAGGTATTTTCAAACCGAGTCCGCTTTTATTTCGGATCCCCTGAAATAGAGGCAACTTTTCCCGCAGACTTTGTTGTCCAGATACGATAAAAAACAGCAAATTTGGCCATTGCTTCAAAAGTATCTTTCCACTCTCGTCTGTAAAATACCTAATTATACACGGAACTAGCGTGCGGCTAGCTATGAGCCATTTCGGACGTTTCCGGGATATTACCGCAAGGGTTTGGTAGCGGAAATTTTACTGCACTCTTTGAATTTTGACATTTGTCAATTCTGACTGTCATGTCAGTGAATATGTGAATATGTCAGTGTTGTTTTGCAAAAATGTGACCAAAAACTAACGATCGTAGAAAAAGTAAAGTATGCAACACGTTTGGGAAACTTTTTAAGTCACTCGCTCCGCTAGTGTCGAATAAACACGTGACTCGTGACGCTCTTCTGTAAAATACCTAATTATACACGGATCTAGCGTGCGGAAAGTGTCACTTTACCACGTCAGTTTCGTTTCCCACGGATCCGAGCCACTTCGGACTTTTCCGGGATTTTACCGCACGGGTTTGGGAGCAATCGGATGTTTTCGGAGATATTTCCCACGCTTTGAATTTTGACGTTTGTCAATTCTGTCGGTCATGTCAGTGAATGTATTTGTGTTGTTTAATCAAAGTAAATCAATCAGGTTTTAAAGCTGGACGCGATTGCACGACTTTTGAAAATTACCGATGATATTCTGTTCTGACTCCCCTGGATTATTCAAAAGCTTTTGATTCGCTCAATCATTCTTTACTAAACGCAGTAAATCTACTTTATAGTTATCTCGGTAATAGGGTTCAAGCAGTGACATACAACTCCAAATTATCTTTTTTCTTATTTCTCAATCAAGGCCTTCCACGGGCATATTAGATATTAGTCCGGATCCTTTTCTCTATATACAGTACTGGACACCCTTGTAAAATCTTTGTTCATGATTCGATTTTGATTTTTTTTTGTTGGATAGGTCTCTGAAAATGCACTAAAATCTTGTCTTGCCTATTGCTTCAACTTAAAGTCATGGTCAACTGACTATTTAACAAGAGAGAGAGAGAAGAGAGATTTAAAAAAAAATTAATTAGCAACGAATTCTTATTCAGGAGTGCTTAGAACCCCACTATACCAATTTGTATAACGTTTCAATACGGGGTGTTTGGAATATCGTTACGCCCCGCTTAAGGCTGTACATCGCTATAAAATCTCTCATCACGGTTTAATTTTGATTAAAAAAATTTGTTGGATAGATCTCTCAAATATCACTAATTGGGATTAATTTTTGATGCCAAATATCGGAAAGGGTTATTAGGGATTTCTTTAAGAATAAACTATCAACGAATTCTTATTCGGGACTACATAAAACTTAACTAATTTCCATGAAGTTCGAATACAGGTTGCTCGATATATCGCGGGACCTCGCTTAAGCATTATTCCGGTAGAATATTTGATTTTTTTGTTGGATAGATTTCACTGAATGGCACTAACGATTTTCTTAAAATTAAATATGATTAGAAAGGATTAGATATAAACTAAACAGACTTTACAACGCTATATTTTTTTAATTCTCGACTAATAATGAAAATAACAGAAATATCAAAATTGATTGACGTCGGCATGCTGTTTCGACAGTCAAATTCACTTGGTAATTTCTATTTCAATTTTGTTTACATCTTTTGAATACTAAGATATATTAATGCTTTGTTTATTAATGTTGATGACAGTAAAAAATAAATGTCCCTTAAAAAGTACTTATCAATACTTTTGAAATTTGTATAATTAAAATTTGTAAGATCTTAGAATCACATACAAAACAATTGTTATTGACAAGGTTTACAATATTTATTTTTTTAAAACATTAACCGATCCAGTTACTTTTAGGTAATCACGAATACGAATCTGTTGTCATTTTCAATTTCAAAAAAATCTCTAAAAGTACTTCTCGATTTTTCGCTACAAAAAACTGTGTCAGTTAGCCATGACTTTAGTCGATGCCATATGAAAAAACTATTGCGTTTCCCTTTAGTAAGATCTATCCAGCAAAAAAATAATGATCACAATTGGTTCTTAAACAAACATTCTACAAGAGTAATGCTTAAGCAAACTTCATGGAAATTAGTCTGTTATGTACCATAATATGTGTGGTCCTGAATAAGAATTCGTTGATAGTTTATTCTTAAAGAAATCCATAATAGCCCTTCTCGATATTTGACATCAAAAATTAATACCAAAACAAGGATTATAGAAAAATATAAAAACAAAAGTATTGTTGTGTGAGTCATTAGTGTTATCACAACTAAATTTCAGTGATGCCTTTCATCCATGTTTAAGTCTCATTGATATTTTTCGTATTCAAAAATTACAAAACTGCTGTTTGAGGCTGATATTCGGTTAAAGAAATCAGTCACCTTCTCCAAATAGTGGCTAAACATGCAAAATCGGAAATATATCCACTTTGTTCGCTTATTTTCTAAGATCTCAGTGAATAAACCTCCTCCTTACTTATATCAAAAAATAAACTTTAAATTAAATATAATAACTTCATCATAAACTAATAAACCACTAAATTGATTTGTTTTTATTGTTGATTATTGGACATAAAGACCTTTATTATTATTATTATTATTAAATCTCGTGTTTTTTTAATACAATTTTTGAAATACGAGCTAAGGTGGTGGTTTTAAAATTGAACACTCTGTATTTTGTTAAAAGAATTTTATTATTTTAAACAAACACGGATTTTGGCATTTTAGGAAATGAAGAGAAAAAGAAAACAAACTGCAATAATAGCGAGTCAACTAATAAATTTGAAAGCGTATTATGGTGCCATATTTTGCCGATTTCGGGTCTTTAATGAGATATGGAAGAATATTGTGGGGGGAATTCGGATATTCGATGTTACACCCATACACTTGTAATGGAGTTTTTCAAAAGTTAAACACCCTGTTTTTGGTTTGCACATTTTATTTACGAAAACATCTGTCTAATGGAACTGTAACACAATTTGTAATATTTGACATCATCAAATTTTATATTATTAAAAACACAATTTTTCAAGAAATTGCCACAGGCTTAAATGAAGCTCTGAAGAAGCCAACAGGACGATTGGCGAAACGTCAGCAAGTTCGACTCAAAAACAACCAATAGGAGGAATCCAGAAGTTTTATAAATAGTATTAAAAACATATTTTGAAACACGCCATATTTCTTCAAAATTATATATACATATATATATATATATATATATATATATATATATATATATATATATATATATATATATATATATAATATTTATTTAATGTCTCTTCGTTGGGATTGGGGTTTCTTCCGAAATCCACTCACTAACCATTAATTTCGGATAAAAAAAATACCGGATCAGATTTTTTTCTTATTCGAGCCGTATTTGGAAAGCGCGTTGGATCGTTTTATTTCCATCGGTGACTAATTTCCCAACTTATTCGCTGGCCGAACAAAGGCCGACACACACGCGATAAGATAACGGGCATCATTTCGTTGCAATTGTGAATATCCAGACAAAGCCGAGCGTAAACATTCGTTTGGCCTTTAATTTTTAACAACAAAGGTGGTCCCGATGTCGACAGATTTCCTCTCGACGTCTATGTAATTGGAAAGCAGATAACGATTTAATGATACCGCGACAGGGTGAGTTATCAAAAACACACTCGCAACGGATTGCTTTATAGGGATTTTGACTTGACTTTTCCAAGTTTCCGCCTCAAACTTTAACGGCCAAAACTAGAGTCAACAAAAATAAAACTAGAGTCAACAAAAATAAATAGGGCATTCTACTTAAACTTTTTCAAAAATCTTTTCTGCTTCTAGCACAGCCCTTATAAGGTCCTGTTCGATATATCGATTACCTAATAATACTGTCTTTATTGCGAAATGACAAATGGCAAAGTTCAGTCTTACGACAAACTCCAACTGCTTGCTTCTCAGAGATATTGTCCAATTTGTATTTGGTTTTTTATTTAATTTATTACTTAATGCTTATTGTGTGTGGAATATTTTTACAATGCCAATATCACGTGTTATCTAACTACGCCGACTCACAAATTTAATACAAACGTTTCTCAAATTGTTGGAGAAGGTTTGAAAGTAAATCGCGCCGACAAACACCCATATAACATGCCCGCGTAGGTACCTACACGTTTCCGGAATGCGTCGTTGTAATTCAGAAAAAAAAATAGTAGTTCACCAGCGGAGAAAATGGTTTTCTAGGAAAACCGATCCGTGCAGCTGCGTGACCCTGGATCCACGTGTTCGAAATGAAGGAAAGGGACGAACCATGCGCGTGGCGCCATCGCGCGTTCGGCAGCCGAACTTTAACCGTTGACTCGTTGGAAGGGAAACTGTCTCGAAAACTGTACTGTGCTGCTTTTTTACATGTGGTTACGGATTAAAGAACGCTGCGTATGACCAAAGTGCACTGAAAATCCGGAAGCTTTATAATTTTTAAAATCGGCCAATTTTTTGCTTTGAAATAGCTATTTGGAAAAATTTCGGTTGATGGGAATGTGATCTCATCAAATCTGTTCTGTCGGTAAACGAACTATTCTGTGGTGCTGTCTAAAATTTCTCTATTATTCATTGCTCCCTTGTGCTCTATTTATTTCTTCGATTTCGAAAATTGGCTGTTTTCTTATAAAACAGCATTTTTGTAATTTGAAATGAGTCTGTTAAGTAAATTAAAACCTTTTTTAAGGTTGCGAGATGTTAAACAAACCGAAGGTACTTTTTTTTGTTAAGTTATTACATAATTGGGTAAAACCGTTTCAACCAAATTATTTTAAGCACTGCTCAGACACATGTCCGAGCACAGGGTATTTCCCTTGGCACCTTCGAAGTGGCAGTGGAAGAAAACGAAGGATCTCTTCCATTTCTATTTCATGTTGGGCGCTATTCCCTGTACGTTGGCAGTCATGTATGGCAACATATTCGTCGGACCGGCTACTTTGTCTGAAATACCGAAGGATTATGAACCCAAATATTGGGAGTATTATAGAGTATGACGACTCGATCGAGGCAACTAGTTATATATATATATTTTTATTTTTTTCCCATCTTTTAGAATCCCATCACCCGGTTTATCGCTAGGTACATAATGAATAACCCTCAGCAAGACTATGAGAAGTATTGTCACTACATTTTCGTAGAAGAGGAAAAGAAAAGACTCAGGTAAAAGTTAACCTAGTCTCCAATTAACTTAACAAAGGAATCCTTGCAGGTTCTTGGAGAAAGAAATTGAAGCAAAAATAGCCGAACGGGACGACTATCAGGCATATTACTACAAACCAGTCACCGCCAAATATCAAAGGGTTATTAAAGAGAGCGCCGACACGATAAAACATATTCGCACTGAATAAAATTTAACAAGGTTGTAAATAATATGTAGTTTATTAGGCATTGATAAGAGACAAAAAAAATGTGAGTTTGATTTATGCACCTAAACCTAGTTATTTCATATATTGTACAAGCGCTTTTAGTACTTTTCCAATTCAATCAAGGTGTTTTTTCCAATCGGACCAGCCACCAGAATAATTTTTCAAGCTACAACAATAGTACTTTTAAACTAGTACACAATCCATGTAATATGATTAATTCACTTGGTATATCCCATCTGTTCCAACAGTTTGCAGGCCTTTAGGCTTCTTCCTCCCATTTTACAGTGCACAGTAATAGGAGCACTTTTATCAGGCTTCTCTATCCCGAACTTTTTCAAAAACTCATCGGAATGCGATAGCAGTTCCCGTTCCAGGTCGGCCACTACAAAGACATTTTACATAAACTAATTCCTTGAAAATTTTAAAATTTACATGGAATATTTATGCTTCCGGGTATTTTTCCGGTGTCTTCAAGCTCCTTTGGCTCGCGCACATCAATAATTAGCTCAGTTTTCTTGCTAGCCAGTTCCTTAACCTCTTCATAAGTTACGACTAAGATGGAAATTAAATTTTATTAGTGGGACTTTCGCCGAAATTTCGACTTACCGTTAACCATTTCCAAGCACAAAATCAACACCTCGGCTACATTTACCGAATCAATGTGCAATAAAAATGAATAATATCGATTTTATGAATAATTGAAATTCTCAGTGAAGGATAATCATAGAAACAGCAAGTGAACCATTCACAAATTCCGCGAACGCTGTTCTTATTTATTACTTAAAACGTCCAGTTAACCTGTTTTAAAGCTTCCACCCAAGCTAATCTGTACACAGCTTCGCATTCGCCTCTAACAGCGGACCTAATCTCGCTTTCGTTGTATTTGCCTGGGCATTTATTTAAACCCTTAAGTTCAATTAACTAATGTTATTAATTTAAAGACACCATGTAGGTTAGCCCCTATGTCAATCCGAAATATGGCGATATTTTAACAATAAATAAAAGTTGAAATATATTTTTTTGCTTAACAGTTGATGGCGTCCACTTACCTGCCTATTGCATCATTTTCTTCCTAAAAAGGGATCTCCACACTACATAAAAACAAACCTGTCGAATCGACGAACTGTCGGCGGCCATGTTAGTTATTGGTTGGTTTGAATAATCCACCTTCCTCGTCGAGTGGTAAATAATTAAATATTTGTTTGGTTTCTGCTATTCTGCTGTCGAGTTGGGCCAGAAGAAAGTGCCATTGTTTATTTAAAATTACTTACATGGAAGATAGAGACTACAACTTGGCAACAACGGCTTCAGTCAAAAATTCAACGCTTTTTGCTCGTGGTGTATACACTGGCGGGATCAACGGAATTGTTTGAATTATTTACAAAAAAGTTATTTCGTTCTTAACGGATTTAATTTTTTGTCAGTTCATAAGTGTTTCGTATGTATGTAAAAACGTAACTCATTCGAACTTACACGGACTTGACGGAAAGAAACACGTTTTCCTTCTCGATGTTGAATGGGCGACTTGGCCGAGGGCACTCGCCCAAGCTAGGAAGCGCAAGTCATCCGTTCGATTAATTGATGACAGTTGATACGTTAAGACTTTCCACCATGTTCACGTTTCGTTTTGTTTATTAAAATCGACGCGTCGCATTAATATTAAAGACAAAATGGCGGAAACTGAAAGTCTTATTACTACCGAAAATTAACGAAGGCAAAACGCAACACCGGTTTTTGTCGCTGCGGTTAAATCGAACGGTTCGGGTCGTTAAATGCCAATATAATTTTTTTTCCTACAAATTGCGCCATCGAGAGTTTGGTTAGCGCTACTAATTATTTGACCGTCCTCCGATGTTAATTGTCCATAAATCAACAAATATTTGGCAAATTTGTTTTATGGACTTTCGAAGGTTAGCAAAGTAATTTAGGGGTTTTGAAAAAAAAAAAAAAAAACAAGTCATTGCACGTCACCTATGGTCGGGTGACACCTAAACGTAGGCGTGGGGCCGTAAGTTCCGGGCAAAAGGATAACGATGAAAATACCAAACACTTTATTTGTCACTTTACAATAAAATTGGATTTAGAAGAATCACATGGCGTTTCACTGACATATTTTACCTCGACACTTTGTATATAAAATATATGCGATTGATGCGATTAGAGAGTGATCGAGACCGGGCTACGACGACCCGGTTAAGAAAAATTACACCTAAACGTCATATTGCCATGTTTCCGAACGGTTTTCGCTTCCGCGGGTTAATAAAAAGTAATTGCAGTGTTTAGGGAAGGTGGGAGGGGTTAGAAAAAAAAAGCTCGCGAACGGGGTGGGAAACAAATCAAGCGGCCGCCTCCACCTCCATGGGCTGCGAGTCCGCCGCCGCCGCGCCGCCGCTCTCGGATTTCTTCTTCTTCTTTTTCGCGGCCCGCGGATTGGCCGAACTGCTCAGTAATGATTTCAGGTCCGTATCCGTGATCGAGCACTCAGACTCGTACAGGGTCGGGTCGAACTGCAGCCCTGTTATCCGGTGCGGCCCGTTCGGCATCAGCAGTACCGTGAATTTGTATTGCGCGACTATTTCGGCTGTATTAAAAATTTCACCCTTTTAGGTAGGCAATAATTGTGTGATATTTATTGAGGCAATGTTCATTTAGAAACGTCAGATGTTTTGCGTCGCAGTCAGGATGTGTCAGTTGGATCAATTGGAGAAAAACTCATCATTACTTTCGGGAGTGTCACAGGGTGGCCATCTTTGCATCTTTGATTGTTACGTTAACGATGTCGAGGATTGTGTTCCAAATTACAAGATTTTACTGCATTCCGATGATTAAAAGATGTACAGGCAGAAAGTTTTGCATTGAATTTCTTATTACTGAGGATTTCAGGCTGATACATAAAAACAACGATCAAGAAAGGATAGACATTCATAGAGCAGGAAACTTGCTATTTTTTTTTAACTTACGAATAAGCTCAGTGAGTATCCAAGATAGTCTAAGGGTCGGTTCATAAATACATTAGCCCACATAGTTTTGCATTGTGCTTAATGTAAGCAAATGGTAAGACCCTCAGCTTCTAAGAAATAAAATAACAGATTTCTTTTGCCCATAAACTGTGCGATGGATACTACGAAAGAGTTCATTCTCTCAAGAATCTGGGCAAAAACTGCAAAATTATTTAAATGGGATGAATGTTGACGCCTTCGTCTAGCCTCCAAGCAATTCGGACCTATACCCATTTACATCTTAGCAACCATCAATCCCCATGATATTATAGTAAACTTATCAGGGAAATATAGATGAACACCGATCAAGCATAAATTAAATGATTGGTTCAAAGTATGAGTCATCAATATCAATAAGTCATAAAGAGTTGACTTTTTCTTTATAAATGCGCAAAACTTAAACTTAAATAAAATTGCTTTATATATAACATCATTTTGGAAGATATAGGCTGCAATTTAAAAAAATCCATTTCCAAATCGAGTCAGCAGTTCGCGAGAAAATTGACCGAACTTGACCTAAATTTTAGTAATGGATCGAGAGTACCCAGAAGACTGTTGGTAAAATAACAATATAATAAAAATAATAATAAAAAATCATCCAAAATCTTTCAAAAAACAAAGAGTGATAAAGGTTAGAAGATATATTAAACACATTTCCATATCTAAGTTATTGCCTTCAAAAATGACGAAAATACATGAAGTTTTTTGCTAAAAGACAACTTCAGCACTTCTTATTAGAATCTTTTTGTGCCAGTTTTTTTTATCCACATTTAATTTTATCTCAAAATTGAAATTGAAAATAATTAAATGTTAAATCCCTAAAAATATATCAAAACCCTACCTAGTTGAAAATTTTTGCGTTTGAGCTTTCATGAAAATGAAAAACAAACACGGGATATTTCCCTTTCGTCCATTTTTTAGAGACTTGCAAAATTTTCGGCGATTTTAATGCAGTGGGTTATAAATAAATGTAAGTTTTTTGGGAAAAAATTCTCGTTGCAGAAAATGCAATAAAGACCTTTTTTGTCAAATCAAATGGTATTCATCAACCATCATTCACATGATTCACAAAAAATTGTCACATTTAGTTATAAGCCATTGCATTAAAATCCCAGAAGTTTTTGCAAGTCTCTACAAAATGGACGAAAAGGAAATATCCAATTAATAGTTAGGTATGTAGATAAATGCATTATTTATAAGTTTTTGATTTTTATGAAAGCTGAAGTACAAAAATCTTGAACTAGGTAAGGTTTTGACTTATTTTTGGAGATTTACCATTTAATTATTTTTAATTTCAATTTGAAGATAAAATTAAATGGGGAAGGTTCCCTACAGCACAGCTGTCCTGATAAAACTTCAGTCCCTCAAAAAGCGTTCCATTTTCGTAAATCATAAGGGTCATACTCAAATTAAAAAGTATTTAATAATAAACTAAGGAAGTTTTTTTCCATTTTTTCCTGAGATGTTAACAAAAATTTTTCTTTGTTACTATACGGAAAATAATTACAAAATTTGACTTATTCCTTAAGAAGTTACAAAATTGATGTCTATAAAATATTCACAAGATTTGAGTTACTCTTCCAGAAGTTATCAAATCAATAAAATGGATATATATACTTACATGGCTTTTCATATAAAACTTGGAAAGGCTCAATCAGCTTATTCTTCACACACTCATTCACCCCCATTTTGGCCTTGGTCTCGTCCTGGAAATATCTGAGGTTGAAGGGCATGTTCCCATACTTGGCCCTAACCTAAAACCGAATCCAAATTAATTTGATAGAGACGACAGTCAACCACTTTACCTCCGTGTAAAACATCCTTGAAGCTTTCAGTTTCAGCTGGTAAGTCTCATCAGTTTTCTTGTAAATTGACACCCTGGTGTCTGTCTCCTTGCCAATCCCCTCACCCGTACTGATGAGGACGTCCATCGCGTACACCTCGTACTTGTCCAGTTTAAACCCCTCGTGCTCCTTCTTCTGAGCATCGTTCGGGTTCTGAATGATGGTCTTCTCGCAGTCGATCTTAAACTGCTTCAGCTGGTGGCTTAACATGCCCTCCACTGGCTTACACTTATAAGCCTCTGCCACTTTTTGCACTGCGTCCGTTATTGTGTAAGTTTCATTCTCTGAAGTTAATTTTCACTCACTGCAATGTTGCTAACATCAAAGCGAGTCATACCTGGCTTAAGCAGTCTGAGAGCTGCTTGAGACGCATAGTGAGCTGCCAAGATAACATCTGCTTTCCGGCCTTTAATCACTTCGCTAGGCGAAGCCCCAACCACAACAGTATGGGCCACTACTGCTATGAAGCCATCTATATGGGCCCCCAAGTCTCTGAAAAAAAAAAAAACGTTCTTAATCGAATAACACATTAAACTTAAATCTTTTCCTCCCTATAGTTTTTCAGATTATTCTTTTAATCACCATTCATATGGATCAATTGGAATTAGTAATAAATCATCATGCTAAGGGTAACGCTGATTCCTTGCGCTGCCCAAACATGTTACTCACATTTTAGCTACGTCGCCGCTCTTTAAAGTGTAATCGGGTTCACTTGGGACGGGTGAAAAATGACAAATACAGTTGTTTATCGAGACGCACGTCGGGAACGCGATGCCTTTTTTAAGTTCCTTCTCTTTCTTAAACACCTTGCCGGTTTCCTCCGTCAGCAATTGATCTCCGTAATCGCATATATCTCTAACCGAAGCTCCCGGCGTGCACTTATCTATAACTTGCTTGAGAACTCCTAAAATGTAAAAATTGGTTAAATTTGTTGTAGGGTTCATCGTTCCGAGTGCAAAACCTATCAATCGGTACCTATAAAATCGAAAAAATTTCAAAAACTTTAAACATCTTTCAAACCGCATGGCTCCGGAGCGGGCAAACAAATACTCCATATGGACTAGACGTTAAAAAAGCGCTTACAGGCACACAAAGTGAGTTTCAATGTTTTCGCGTTCGATGCAATAACGCTAACCGCTAAAAAAACTCACTGTTTACTATTTCTCCGGCCATTTTATATTTGGTAACGACCAAATCTTCCGAGATGGTTTTTTCCACCACATCCTTTTCGTCCGCCATCTTCCACTCCAAGACTTGAACTGTCACGTGACTTCGCGGCAACTCTACCTCCGCAGCGTGGACAACCAAAAAGCGATCATAGAATACTTCTTCCTCTTTTCGTTATTACAACTAAGATTTATGAGCCATGACTTCTTCTTTTTTACTTTCATAGCCATAAATACCAGCATCATTCGGCAAAATTACGAAATAAATTTTTTTTTTATAGGTTATGATATTGCGGCTGTTTACTCCTTCCGTTGTCTTCCCTAAGTCAAGCATTAAACTGATTTTTCTTAGAATTCTACAAATATTATAACCGTCATGACTGAAGACGTCCAAAGGCATTCGGTACACACATTAGTTTTCCGTTCATTAAAACGATCTCACGATATGTTTTTGTCAAATCAAGGATTGTTGCCCACCGTGGACGAAAAAGCGTTAGTATTTAAATCTGTATCATTAGTCTTGTTGGAACTCTCATTCGTTTCAGAGACAAAATTCGAAGAAGTATCAAGGCCAGGGATTTCTACGGCCTCGTTTTCGATGACGTGAAAAAAATGCAAGCGATGAAAAACCTCAGGGAGTCGGAAGCGGGGCCGAACCCGCCGCCCCCGGGGACCGTCGAAAGCGACGCGACTCCTCTCGAAAACGCGGTCGTGCCGTTTTCCGAGAATACACTGAATCGGAACCCACAAAATCAGCAAAATCAAATAGCTACACTTATCAAAAAGGCCCCGACCATGCCCAAACCGAAATGGCACCCTCCGTGGAAATTGTACAGGGTTATCGCGGGCCATCTGGGATGGGTTAGATGTGTGGCCGTCGAACCCGGAAACGAAGTAAGTGCCGACATTTTTAAGTTACTGGTAATGGATTATGTTTAGTGGTTCGCGACAGGCGCGGCGGATCGAATAATAAAAATTTGGGATCTGGCGTCAGGACAACTTAAAGTGTCCCTGACTGGCCACGTCAGCACTGTGAGGGGATTAGCTGTCAGCGCGAGACATCCGTATTTGTTCAGCTGCGGCGAGGATAGACAAGTAAAATGTTGGGATCTCGAGTACAACAAGGCAAGCTTTCTTTATATTTACAAGTATCATGAAAGTAAGATAAAAATGAATAAATATTGTAGGTTATACGTCATTACCATGGTCATCTGTCGGCGGTTTATACATTAGCCCTACATCCAACCATTGATGTTTTGTTGACTGCAGGAAGGGATTCGACCGCTCGTGTCTGGGATATGAGAACAAAAGCAAACATCCACACTCTAACTGGTAAGTGGAAGGATGGAAACAGTAGGGAATTGCATTTTCCAGGTTCAAGTTTACTATCATTTGTTGTATTTTAGGGCATACTCACACCGTGGCCAAAGTTATAGCCCAAGCGTCTGAGCCCCAGATCATCACAGGATCCCATGATACCACGATAAGGTTGTGGGATCTAGCGGCTGGAAAATCCATCTGCACCCTCACCAACCACAAGAAAAGTGTCAGGGACTTGGTGTTTCATCCCACATTGTATGTTATTACTCTTATTATTACTATTAATGTATTACTCCAGAAGATCCACTGTTTAATGGCAACACCGGAACAACTTTTCCTACTAAAAAAAGTTATTTGAGAATGAAAGACGATTGTTATTATGACTATAATTATTAAACCTTAAATGTTGTTTATGTATTTTGCGTTTTTTACAATATGTAACATTAATTCAGGCGTTTAACGTTTAATTAAAAGAAATTAAAACAGGGCACGGGTTAAAATGAGAAACAAGTATTCATTAAGAGGTTAAGGTTTTTGATATTTTGAAGATTTGAACTCGTCCTTGTATCTACCTACATAACGCACCAGTTTCTTTTAATTGTTTTAATTCTTTTTATTGAAGTCATGAAAAAGACCGATATGTTGAAAATTTTAACTCATTGAATAACGTATAACTTTTTTAAATTATTTTTTAATTGTGTTACGAAAATTTTAACTCCATGTATAACGTAAAATTTCTTTTAATTGGATTTAATTGTGTTAATTAAAATCATTTAATAGACTTTGTTATTTTGAAAATTTTGACTCATACTACCTAATGCAAAAATTTTTTAAATTAGGTTTTAATTGTGTTTATTGAAATCATGTGAAAGACTGAAATATTGAAAATTTCAATTCCATAAATAACGCAAAATTTCTTTTAATTAAGTTTTAATCATGTTAATTAAGGTCTTGTCTCTTTTGTCCAAATTCTACCAAACAAAATGTCGGTTCGGTGTCAGGGCTGGGTCCAGATCTACGCTTTAGATCCTACCACGTTATATGTATACATAGAGAAAATATTTCAGAAATATGTTCGCGTCCGGGTCGCCGGACAACATAAAACAGTGGAAGTGTCCGGAAGGGAAGTTCATTCAAAACCTGTCTGGCCACAACGCCATCATCAACTGCCTGGGCGTCAACTCCGAAGGAGTTCTGGTGTCCGGAGGGGATAACGGGACGCTACACTTTTGGGACTGGAGGACGGGTACGGTTTCGCATTAAAACTCGTTATGGATTTAAAAATCTCAATTTATTTCAGGATACAACTTCCAAAGGCTCCAGGCTCCGGTCCAGCCCGGGTCCATGGACAGCGAGGCCGGCATATTCTCGATGATTTTCGACCAATCAGGTTCGAGACTTATCACGACAGAGGCCGACAAGACGATTAAAATTTACAAAGAGGACGACACGGCCACGGAGGAGAGCCACCCGATCAATTGGAAACCGGACATTCTGAAGCGGAGGAAATTCTAAAATAAGTTTACAATTTAGGATTTTTATATGAAATAAAACACCAAATTTCGATTCGACAGTATATATTCGTAATATAAATATTTATTTATTTTAAATATCCTATAAAAGTTTTTGGGGCTCGGGTCGCGTCTTGTTTCTTGTCAGCAACGCTACCCCGACATAGTGGTAGAGCGTGCAAGCTATAACTTTTATCAAGACGAAGACTATCCTCTGCATCCAGTTCAGAACTCCGTAAATGGGGTACAACCATATACCGTGCCTGATATAGATGAAGAAATATCTGTAATCAATTGATTATTGTCAGGTTATAACTTATTTACTATAATAAGAATCACGATTTCGTGCTTTGGATAATTTAATAATAACAACAATAATATTCTATGCTAAAAATAAGCAATTAAAATGCATTAAATTTATAATTGTTAGGTAAGATCCGCAAGACATTTTAAAAGGGGGTTTAAATTAAAATATACCTTTCAGACGTTTCAGACATTTTATATGCGTTTTTTGCCATAAAGTGTGTTCCTTCTTTAAAAAGAGTAGAATTATATCTTCGAATGCTCAAATCACCTCTATGCGTCATCAGCATATCCATATGCCTCCAGCTTGCAGAGAATAAATGTATATTTTATGTCACTATCATAACTAATGAGACAAAAAAATAGTCAACATCAATATCAATATCATCTCACTATTATAACTGATGAGGCAAATTTTGTCAATATTCTCATTATCATAACTATTGAGACAAAATACAGCGATGCAACAGTCAGTATAAAAATATTTTATTTCGCTATCATAACTAATGAGGCAAATAAGTTAAATATTTTGTCCAACCATCATAACTAATGAGACAAAAAAAAGTAGTAGTAATGATGGAACAGTCGATATGTAAAGTTGAATATTATTTATTTAAGAATATCTAGTAACAAAACCATATTAATCACTATAATAACTAATTTCCCTATTTTTTTGGTACAGCCAAGGGCATTTAACAGCTTATAACTATGACATTTTTCTACAAATATAGCTTATTTAATTAATAAATTAAAAAAATTGAAAAAATTTTACTTGAAAATAGTAATAATTTTTTCCGCCTGAGGTGATATTGGAAAACCTAAACCGTTTCGCCATCTGTAAACGAATGGCGAAACTAAATCAGCATTCTTCGGTTACCAAGTTAGAAATCCGTAATTTTGATTTCTCAAGATAGCTTGAAAACTCGGTTATGGCGTATACTCACATCGTCTGGTAGGTACCCGCGAACGCTAGCAACCCTAGCAGGGACCTCTCCAGCACGTGGTACTTGTCCACGGTTTGGGAAAATGCAACTTCGATGACCAGGGGCACCAAAATGAACGTGTGCATGGTGTGATTGAGCCAGGCTGGGTAAAAATCGTCCAGGGCTTTTGGGAAGATGAGCTCGCGATCTATGTGCCATATGGTCCAGAACACCGTCACCACGAGCAACGTGCACGGAAACACGATAGTCGAGAATGTCACGTGCCTGACGTATTGTATGGACTTTTGCAACTTGGTTTTGGGCGTCAGGATCTGTAGCAACTCGTCCAACACAGCCGTGCACAAGAAAAGCGTCTGGACGCCCTGAAATACGGAGATAAAGAAAATACTGTCGCTAATTAAATTTTGGAAATCAAACTGATCGCTACATATTGATAATATCAATCGGACAATCGGAAAGATGCATAACTTATTTAGAATGTCAACAACTTATTTTTCATTTTTGTCTGTTCTCCGTTCTGAGTGTCTGTTCTTCGCCTACGCTACGTAAAAACGCGAATACCTTCCGAAAGGTTTGAGCTGGGATACCGAAATTCGGCACCTTTAAAACAGCTCTCGAGACGCGGAAGCCCTGTATAAATGACCCCGTTCGGTCAGTGGCGACCATTTTATTTTCTGGATTTGTTTCTGTTTTTCATATATCGACTTGAAATGTGGCACGACTAACGGAAATAACAAATTAGGACGTTTTTTGTGGGTATGTACATCGTATATTTGCGGTTATGCTTTATGGTTTTCAATAGATCGGAAATAACTAGAATATAGGTTTTTAAATTTTTCAAATTTTTATGAAAATCACATTTTCTGTGCCCATACTTCGTTTAATGAAACCAAAAATATGTTTTTGCGGCTTCTTTCTAAGGGTTAACCTCGCAAAAATGCCGGCCCTGTACATCGAAACGAGGGCTATGTTTCGATTTCTTATCTATAAGTACCATTTTTGTTAAGGAGAAAGTCTAAATCATTATTCCACGATGTCTGGTAGATATATAAAGGTATCAAATTTCTATCCATGACCTTCCTCAACTCTGCCCATGCGAATCTGGGTACTAGTGGACCCAGCAAGATATCAGCTGGGTGCACGCGTACCCACTGGAAATACGTTTCCTTCATATTTGTTGTTATTAAAAATAAAACAATAATATGGATAACCGTAAGAGTATTTCGGCATACTTTTTAAAAGTTTTAGCCAGTGGCGTGCAGAATGTAAAAAAATGTATATGGTCTGTTCATAAATATAAGAAAGTGACCAACTGCTTTTGAACGGATTATCCAACATACAATGCAACAAGATTATTTCCTTAATTAATAATTAATTATTAATTACCTTAATTAGTAATAATAATCTTGTTCATTGTGTGTTAATTACCATAATTTTTTTTGTACCACTAATACTGGAAGCTGTTAATTAGTTCTAGCAGTTTTTGTCCACTCTAATTTCTACTTTTCCATTTCTCGTTTATGTTCATTTTCATCCTTCGCTTCTCTGGAACACAGCTCGAATGTCAGAACCAGTTACCGCCGCTCGGTCGGAAAGGGAAGCCGGACCGCAAAATTAAAAATTTATCGACGGACACAAATAGAGACGTTATGTGAATTATTACCGGGGTGTAAATAGTTAGTGACGTTGTCATGAGTTACTTACAAAGTTCCATATCGTGAAAAAGTGCATTCCGAATCGCGAGAGGGCTTTGAACCTGTCGTTTATTTTGTCGGGATCGAGGCGGTTCTTCAGCTGCGCGTTTTCGTGAAAACTGTACAGTTCGAACAGCAACACAGAGGCGTACGTCGCGAGGGCCAGGCCGTTCGTCATCGCGCACTTTTTCAAACAGTTTCTAATAATTGTCGCTGGTAATACGCGATTCGCTTAGAATCGCACTGTTTCGTTCGTCGTTAAATTTTATGAAACGCATTGTTCGACTTAATATTTTCGCGACTCGGAATTGCGTTTTATTATCAAACTACGCTCGGCGTTCGATAAAATAGGCCCCGTCAAGGACAGAACCCAAAGTGCACAGTACTTATCGTAAAGTATACCTAAACGTATATGTGAGTATACAGGGTGTCTGGTTATAATCGGAATCGGACCGAAAACTATAGTATATTTTTCGGCTGTAGAGAGAAATCCTCGTTTTTATGTTTCAAAGTTTCTCTCAACATTAAAAACAAAAATTGATAGGTAATGTAACCCAACAATTCTAACTTTTCTAAGGTTTTTGAAAAAAAAAAAGATATTGGTCAGAAAATACAGTATCTTGATAACATTTTAATTGGCTATAACTTTTTTGGTTTTATAGATATCAAGGTAAACAAAAAAAAAACAAAATGTAGGGTTAGTAGCCAAGTTTTTTTGCAAGTGACGTATAAAACAAAACACTATCAATTTTCTGACATACAAGCCTACATTATATTTCTTAAAATTGAACACCCTGTACAGCGCACTTTATTTTTTAGTCCACCCGACAAATCGGCAAAAATAGGAAATTTTTATGTAATTTCAAAGAGTGCCCTGACTAACAAATAAAAATATAATTATGTTTGACATATTAGTAAACAACGTTGGTGGTTGAATTATTGTCCAAGTCATTATTGTTAAAATGGTTTTTCGAAAATTTAGCATCCGTGAAAAGAGTGATATGGTTCAAGTATATTTTCTGAATAATAAAAGTGAAACCGCAGCTCGTCGTCAGTATATTACATTTTATCCAGAGCGCCGAGCTCCTTCAAAACAGGCTGGCAAATTTGCAGAAAATGGTAACGTAATAAAAGCTAAAAGGTGCGCACAAAGGTAACCACATCCAGTTCTCTTTCTCGGCGATCAATTCACTCAGTTTTGAAAGAATATAAATTAATAATTTATTTATATAAATAAATATATATAATAAATATATAATATATATAATAAATATATAAATAAATTTAAATTTCGTAAAACTCAAGAACTAATTGCAGAACAATGTCAAAGCAGGATGGATTTTTTAAATAGACAATGAGAATAATAATTCTTTGAAAAACATTTTATGGACTGATGAAAGTTCGTTCACTACAAGAAAGGGTTTTAGTAGACAAAATACGCGATATTGGTCTTTAAATAATCCTAGACAAATACCCGAAAGAAAAACTCACAATGTTGTGCAAGTAAAAAATTTTCTTAACATGGAATATCCCAGGAGTTGGATTGGGAACGGCGGAATTATGGATTCATCACGTGCACAGAACTCCTTGTAGGGATGTCGTGGAACTTCGGCAAGGGATTTCAGAGGCAATCAATCAGTTAATACACAATCTGGAAACGTTACTAAATGCAAGACAGCATACAATTAGAGTGTATGAGAAACGTGTTCAGGAAAATGGTGGTCACAAACAACAGTATTTGGAATAGTTAAAGAATTTTTTACTTTAGTGTGTCTTATCATTTTTAGTATTTTTGTGGCACCTTAATTTGTAAATAATGATAGTTGTTGCAATCATGGCACTCCTTGAAATTATATAAAAATTTCCTATTTATGCCGATTTGTCAAAAACGAGTGGACTAAAATATAAAGTGTGTTACATCATTGTAATCGGAATAAGATATTCTATTAAACACATATATAAATTGACAGTTTCGTTTTATAATTTACTTGGAAAAAACTTGGCTACTAACCCTACATTTTGTTTTGTTTTTGTTTACCTGATATCTCTAAAAACAAAAAAGTTACAACCAATTAAACATTTTAATAAATTGAACGCACGGTACATACATACTGGTTTCCAACAGCTTCCAGTCACTTTTCGTGTATTTTACGAATTTTTCTTTTTTTAGATATATCCTAAAATCTTAGGGTAGCAAATTATTAATAAATATGCCCCGACTATTATGCTTTTTTCGAAAATATACATGGCAAGGAAAAAAGCTATGTTTTAACATGATTCTCATACATATTTAATAATACGTATATCTATTTTAAGCAGCGAACGACCTTTTTGTTACGCGAAACATATATTTTTTAAATTACCAGTGCCGAAAAAAATTAACGTTGATACGTACGAAGATCCAGAGTGTAAAAAAGTAAGTCGGGAATTTGCTCGGGAATTGCAGGTTTTTTGGAAGTTTCGCGCGTACTCCTCGCGAAAACTTTCGACTCTCAACGATGGAGTGGCAATAGTACCACAAAACTGTTACGTACAATATCAAGACGACGCGTTTGCACATGGTATTGTAACTGGTTTGCTCCCTTCGATATCGCGTTTGCCCATATTGTTTGAGTAGTTGCACTACAATTAGTATTTTTTATCGGGGGAAACTAAAGGCGTGCGATCTTTTTTTTTTGGTAAAAAATGCTTAACTTCAAAATAAATAAGAACTAAAAGTTCAGATTTTTACGAAATTATATATAATTACATGACAATTGACAATAATATATAATTTCGTGAAAATCTGAACTTTTAGTTCTTATTTATTTTGATAAATGGATTTTCATCATTCATTATTAGTAATTAGTATGTCTTAATATTTTTTAAGGTATTCAAATATCAAGCAAAGTGGGCGGAAATTTCATAAAAATGCAACATTAGTAGTAGTAAAAGGGAAAAAAACGAATTTTTGTGCTTTGTGTCAATTAATTAATAGAGTAATTAATGTATAGGGTGGGCCGTTTATCTTGGGACGCTACCTTATCTCAGAAACTATAGGGGATGGAGCCAAAAGTTAAATACAAAAATTAATTGAGTTATGAGCCTTTAATTTATATTAATTTTGTATGTATAGGGTGTTTAATTTCTCGTGGGCGAGTATCAACTTTCTTATTTTAAATTTTAAACACCTAGCATATTACTTTTTTACATTTTTGAATTTTGTATAAATTTCTAGATATATTTTGTGTATAATGTCCTATACCTAACCTAAATTACGTTTGCAAGACGTAACATATCTGCCAATTTCTTCATTGAGAAGCATTTATTTACTTTTTTTACTTGAGTAGTTTCGATAAATATTAATACAGGGTACGCGAAAAATAAGGTTAAAAATGAAATTAAAAAAACTGCCAAAACTTATTTTTTCAATGGAAACCTTATTATCTTGTAATATTTAGCATTAGAAATTAAGGCAATTTTATATAAATAAATAAATAAATGCCTAATATTTTTACTTATCAAAAATAATTTGCTGTTGAAATATAAGTTTAGTTAGTGTGTAAGGTGGCTATGACGGCGTTTGCACAAAACAAGTGCTAAAGTGCTGCCACTATGGTTATATTATTTATACGGAATAAGACTAAGGATATGCGATAACGTAAGATATTAACGAACGATCAATAAAAAAATAACAGCTTACAAAAGATAATAATTATTGTAACAGTTGTTCAATATGTCTTCCACATTGAGCAATACAAGTAGTTTGAAGGGTTTCTAAATACATACTGGCATTTCTAACAGATTGAGTACCATTTAAATATCTGATACCTTCTCTTATCCGACGTTTAGGTTCCTCGATAGTGGACGGGTTGTGTTTGTTAAGTAAATCTTTAAGTGTACCCCATTGAAAAAAAATTAGGGGGGTTAAGTCGAAGCTCCTTGGAGGCTAGACATAACTAACATTCTCAATAATAGGTGCTAATTTATTGATTTGTGTGAAACCGAGCTCCATCCTACTGTCAAATTAAATTTCGTCGTTCCTTTTCAGGCACTTCATGTTCAACAAAGGGCTCAAAGCTCAATGTTTCAAAGCTCTAAGTAGTGTTGGGAAGTTAAATTCTGATAAAAAATACTGCACCTATTATTCTGAACCTTCAAATGGCCGACCATACTTTGACAGAAGCTCTACCTGATCTTGCAACTTCCATATGTTTTTTAGTATTCTTGGTGCTCCAGTAATGGGTATTTTTTTATTAAAAATTTTAGTTGACGTTGTAAATATGGAGCCATCTGCCCAAATAATATTAGCAAATATATTTTCTGAAAAGTGTGTCTTCATAAGATATAAAATAATAAGATAAGATAAGATATAAAATAATAAGATAAAAATAATGTTCTAATCCCTTTGCTCTACTTTCTGCATTGGACAGAGTTTATATTACTTCCAGTTGTTTATTTCAAGGCTCGTTTGAAGCGTTGTTTTCTGGACATCTAGATCTAGAGACGCATTTAGGGTTGAATCTTCAGGGGTGTCTGCAAAATGCAAAAAAATATTAGGTTGCTGTTCATCATTGAAAATATGATGACGTCTATTTTTTCCTTCTTCAAGGTTCCATATGTTCTGTGTTGGTAAATCCGGTCGAAGATGTTTTTTTTGAGCGCCTCGTTAACGGAAATTTTCGATATCTAACTTTCTAACATAACAATTTTTACCTCTGTGGTAAACATGATACGCAAGCAAGCGAATAAATCAAATTTATAAATGATAAATAAATAAAATAAAGTAATGTGTAAAAAAAAACAACAAAAAACGAATCCAAAGAGGCAGCGTTCTAGCACTTGTTTTGTTCAAACGCCATCACAGTCACCTTACAATAACTGAACTTATATGGAAACAGCATATGATTTGTGATAGATAAATGTTTAAAAGGGAATATTTAAAAATGTAAAAATATTAGGTATATACAACCTTATATAAAATTGCCTTAATTTTAATTAATATGACTGTTTCTTGAATTTCGTTTAATTCGAGTCCTTTGTCGACAACAAAAGTTATTTAAGTAAAACAATGAATCGAATGAAGATATCAGTACATATTTTACGTCTTGCAAACGTCATTTGTCGCATAAAAAATTAAAAATGTCAAAAACGGTTAGACTTAGGTAGAATTTTGTATAGAAGGTAAAAATGAATTAATTTACCAGGTGTTCTATTTAAAATAAGAAAGTTCGTACTCGCCCACAAAAAATGAAACTTTTTTAACTTTTGTAGAGAAAAATTATGCAAAACAGGGGCTGTGGGTATTCAATGAAATATTAGGTCAAATCATATTTCTGGAAATTCTGGTTTTTCGAAAATTTGCAAAAGTAAACTAAAACCAATATTTGGTTGTGAAAAAAAGACTTACGAAATTCACTCCGGTAAAATAAAAGGGTTTGAATTGGGCTAACGTCCTTCCCGTGTTGTTGCTTTCGAATTTGAGGAATTTTTGAAAGAACGCCGACATCACATAGAAAACTAGGATCGCGCCGTACGTCACGGGCCGACGAAAATTCGTAAACGTTTTCATGGCGGACCGTTCGAGTTGGCTGTGAAACTGAAGACGAGTTCCATCGCACTGGGTCAATTTAAAAGGTGAAAGTCGTATTCGTAATGCTCTAGTCCTTCCTGTTTGGGGACTCCGACGCTGACGTTATGCATAGGTAATATAAAGTTCGATCGAATGCGGCAGTTAATCTTCGGTCCAATTCACGAAGCTCCAGAGTGACGCCATCTATTGCCGTATCTTTTATAAAAGACGCAAAGGTTCAACAATAGACACAAGGTCCCGCGTTTATTGCGCTTGCCGTACCCAAAATATGAAAATGACCGTCGCGGATTCCGCTTTCTTCAAAAATTATAAACCAAAACACCAACTCCGAGTATTTGCAATATCCTGCACGAGGTCTCTGCAAAGGTACGGCATTCGGAGAAAACGTCGACTGGTGTCCCATCTATCGGGAAATAAATAAATTCTGACGCAAGTTTCAACGCGCCAATTTTGTTCTTTACCATCCATTCAACGGGAACAACTTCGATTTCCGATCTTAAGATATATACTCACGTAATTCCAAGTCGTGAAATAGAATAACGTCAGCGTAAAGTATGACGCGACGTGTTCCTGTACTTCGAAAACGTTGATGTCTAACCACAGCAGCCCCATGTAGACGCAACTAGCCGGATAGAAGAGCCCCAAGAGGGCGGCGCAGATCGAACGCAGTCGCATGTCGCGGAAAAGAACCGACCGTGATTGTACTGTTAAATTTAAAACTGGTTCGCTGGTTTCGCCGAATATCCAAACGAGATATGGCGTTATCAAATTTAAATTCCGTTTTTTTTTTTAATTTTTATGTTCATATAATTGCCCCTTTAATTTACGTCGTTAATTGCGATTTTTAAAAAACAAAGTAATTACTCGAGTTTTGGCTACAATTATCTCCGATCTTACGAGTCCATTTATAGATTCTAGAATATTGTACGTCTAAGGATAGTGGAGAATTAATTACCCAAGAAAATTTCGACGGGAGTTTGATTTCAATGACTGAATTGCAGTACAAAATATCAGGACAAGACATACGACGACAGACGTAGTTTTTTTTCTAAGTTGATCACTTGTCCAACAGATGGCACTATAAGAGACAATTCACTACTGGGACCCGATGTGAGGCGTATTAATTAACAGTATTCTGAACTGGCACCCATCATCGCATTGAAGTTTCTTTTTAAGTATCGTTATTTCAACTAGATGGGCTGACGCTGACATTTCGCCGTGGTTAGTTTCAATACATTTATTTTGTGCTCTCGCATATAAAATTACCTAATATCGCTCAGATTTACGTAAGTTTCGTTTCCCTCGAATCCGAGGCACTGGGGGATATTTCTGGGATTTTGCCGCACGGATTTGGTGCAATCGGTTGTTTTGTTAGATATTTTTTCCCATGCTTTGGATTTTGACGTTTGTTAATTCTGACAGGATATTTTTTCCCATGCTTTGGATTTTGACTTTTGTTAATTCTGACAGTCATGTCAGTGCATGTATTCGTGTTTTAGGAAAATGTACTCAAAAACTGACGGTCGTAGAACAAGTATAGTATGCAACACGTTCGCTGAACTTTTTAACTCACTCGTTTATTAAGTACTCGCTCCGCTCGTGCCAAATAAACTCGTAAGTCAAATGTCGTTTACCGCATGTTGCATAATATACTATTTCAAGTTTATTAAAATATTCTTTTGTCGTTCTTTTTCTTTAAGTACTTTTGAGATGCGAAAAGCCGATATTAAACCAAAAAAAAAGACATATGGTCGTACCTCATCCAGATGCACGCCTAGACTAACCATTCTTAATAATGACTTATAAACAAATTAGAAGAAAACCCCTTAATATGTGTAAATATTCCTTTTCTACTCCAGTCTGCAAAATACCTAATTACACAGCGATCTAGCATGTGGGAAGCGTCATTTTACCATGTAAATTTCGTTTCCCACGGACTTTAGTCACTTCGGACATTTCCGGGATTTTACCGCACGGATTTGGGGGCAATCGGACGTTTTCGGAGATATTTCCCACGGTTTGAATTTTGACGTTTGTCAATTCTGACGGTCATGTCAGTGAATGTATTTGTGTAATGTACCCAAACACTGACGGTCGTAGAAAAAGTATAGTATGCAACACGTTCGGTAATAATATATTATGCAACAACTGCGGTAAACGGCACTTGACTTACGAGTTTATTTGACACGAGCGGAGCGAGTTTTTAATAAACGAGTGAGTTAAAAAGTTTACCGCACGTGTTGCATACTATACTTTTTCTACAACCGTTAGTTTTTGGGCACATTTTCGTAAAACAACACGAATACATTCACTAACATGACCGTCAGAATTGACAAACGTCAAAATGCAAAGCGTGGGAAATATCTCCGAGAACATCCGATTGCTCCCAAATCCGTGCGGTAAAATCCCGGAAATGTCGGAAGTGGCTCGGATACATGGGCAACGAGTCTGGCGTGTTAAATTGACGCTTTCCGCAGGCTAGATCGGTGGGTAATTAGGTATTTTACAGACGGGAGTAGAAAAACTTTTTAACTCACTCGTAGATTAAAAACTCGCTTCCCGGCGCTCCCCTCGTGTCAAATAAACTCGTGAGTCAAATGCCGTTTACCGCACTTGTTGCATAATATACTACGTTTATATGATATATCCAATAATACATCTCTTTCTGTCTAACGTGCACAGTTAAAAAGAGACAACAATAGCAGAGCCGATAGGAACGATAAACGAATAGGTTTAATGCTAACTAGTAAATATGTTGTTTGAATGGTAAATTATTTAGTAATCCGATAATCTGTTATTTTTAATTTGTTAAGTTGTGATTTTTTCGTGACGGTCGTAGAAAAAGTATAGTATGCAAGAGGTGTGGTAAACTCTTTATCTCTCTCGTTTATTAAGCACTCGTGAGTCAAATGCGGTTTACCGCACTTATTGCATAATATACTATGTTCTACTCCGGATCTAGCGTGCGGGAAGCGTCACTTTACCACATGAGGTTCTTGTCCCACGGATCCGAGGCCCTTCGGATATTTCCGAGATATTACCGCATGGGTTTGGGAGCAATCGGATGTTTTCGGGGATTTTACCGCACGGCTTGAATTTTGACGTTTGTTAATTTTGACGGTTATGTCAGTGAATGTATTCGTATTGATTGAAATTGACGGTCGTAGAAAAAGTATAGTATGCAACACGTCTGGTAAACTTTTTAAGTAACTCGTTTATTAAACATTCGCTCCGCCCGTGTGAAATAAACTCGTGACTCAAATGCCGTTTACCGCACTTGTTGAATAATATATTATTACTATTACTTTTAGGGTAGCAACATTTTCTGTAAAAATGCTTTGCAAATAAAAATGGGGCTTCTGTTATTTTCATTAAAGCCTTTTGCTACAGTTTGTCGTGCATTTTATTTTGCTGCTGTAATGTTGTTTACTGGGTCTCCGCAGAACTGAAACGATACGTTTCGCATTTAATTAAAAAACAATAAAACGCCCCAGAGCCGTCCCTGCCCTAGGTTATATCGATCGGCCAACCCCCGGACTTCATTGCGCCTGATCTCCCACCCCCACGCTCCAACATTAATCTTTTTTTCCCACCCGATGATTCCTCTCCGCGTCCCGTGGTAAACAAACCCAAATGGTGGAGTGTTTCAAAACGGATATGACCTCGGAGACCGTCGCCCCAGCCGAAACCCAGCAACTGACACCCCAAACGCCGGTACTGACCGTGGCCTGTCGCATTTTGAGGTCGCCGAGCCACGAGAGCGTCACCACGGACTTGTCGCTGTTTTCGGTCAGCTCGGTCGCGTCTGAGAACGCGGCCTGTGGCGGACGGAGATTGCTGAACTTGAACAAGTGCGACGGCAGTCTCAGGGGACCGAGCCCTAACCCGGATACCAGGAACCAAAACAGGTGGGGTTGTTAGTATATAAAATGTATGGGAATCAAACTTGTATTGCCGCCATTAGAAGCCGCTGCCTACATTTTAAAACTGTTGAATTTTTTTCGTTATTGCTTCTGTTTCAACTGTATGTCAAGGTGCTACCTAACCTAAATCAAAGCTAATCATTATTCAAAATTGCAAATACCAATAAACACTCTATAAGAGACAACAGCGGTCATTTTACCAAGTTATATTTGAAAAACAAGAGGCGTGAAATAATTGAAAGGAATAGACAAAGTTAGATCGAAAGATCAGCATCATTCCTTTTGAAACTATATTGTAAGGATTTTTTTCTTTAGAATTATTTTATTGACTTAGTTTCGTAGTAAATGAACAGTTTTTTCTCTTATTTAAAGAATAAAAGATGAAAAGAATTTGGTTTAATCATTTTTTAATTGCTAATTGTTGCCAAGGTATTATTATTTCGTTATTTTTAGGAAAAAAAATTTCTAGCTGAAGTTCGCAAATAGGATGATTTTAGAAAATGCTGTCGGCATCGAGGTTGTCACTAAACACTGAACTGAAATATTGAACTTCGAATTGAAGTTATTCTGCTACATGTTTTGACAATTCCGATTATAACCTTGTGGCAGATCCTACCTTGTGACAGCGTAATGAATAAAATATTAAGTATATCACAAAGAACTTTAAGGCTTAAAATCTTCAACTGTAAGCTCAGAGCTGATACAAAAAACTATGTACAATACAGTACCAAATAATGCAAAAGGATAACACTGACTTGCATCATGTAGTGACAACGTATATAAGTATTGTATTGTAAAGGTTATATAACCCAGTTCAGAGGTAAATTTTATTATTATGAAAGGTGTAAAAATGCGAGTTTGTTGAATCTCAAGAAGATCTAAATTTCAGAAATCTAATTTAATATAATTAAAATTACGTGGGTTGAATAATTTCGAAGTAAATACCTATTTATGTTTCTCTGATAGCTTTTGCCTTGCCCTTTCATTTAATTACTTTTATTTTTTATTGTTTTTAGTAGTATTAAGGGTTTCCTTTGCATTGGTGTTATTGTATAAGTGCAGCCTGTTACTTTTAACTTAATTACTTTAATTTATTTATTTTGTTATTATTTAATAACGGAAGTACATAACGACAATTTGCAAACTTAAAGAAAAACTGTATAAAAATCATTTTAACGATGAATTATTTAACCACAGTTAATCCAAATTATTTCCTAACAACGTTTCCTATTATTTGTTTCAGGAGAAAGATAATTTTCTATTTTACAATACCTTAATTTCTTTTGCAATACCATCAATGGAAAAAGATTTTTACAAATATCAAATTTACTATAATCCAGAAGATTTGAAAAACGAAAAAAAAATACAGATTTTATTACTGATGGGTTTTTAAATTCAAACCATTTCTAATAAAAAATATTTATTTGTGTATATTTTTGTTTTATTGACTTTTAAATTTTATATACTTATATATTTTCATATTAAATATACCTACTTTTTAGTTCAATTTATAAATTAGGTATACTTTCATTATACTTATATAATTACAATAAAATCACTCAAAAGTTTTTGTATAATTAACAAATTTATTAATTATTTTTGCAAGAAACAACATTTTAGCATCAAAATGAAATGCCCCTATATTTTTCTGGTATACAATCGGCTTCGACAGATGAACTTGAGAAGCATAAATACTGTACGCGTTTTATTAATAAGCAGTTGCTGACTTTGATCAGATTGATTGATTTCCGCTTGTTTCCAGACGAGTGGTTGGTGAGAAGATGAGATGCGCTCACAGGGCAGCATAATTAAATGAGAGTTATATTAATTATACTTTGGTTTTATTAGTTTGTTATGTTGTTCTTCAATCAGCTTCAACATTTTTTTATTGGAGAACAACATATTTGTAGCTTAGCAATTAGAAAACTCCATACAAACTTTTTCTTTGAAGACCCGCCGATATTCCGGAAATTCTCTGGTTTGAAGAAGAAACCGAGCTCATCAGAAGCTGCGGGGCTCTGTCTTCGGCCGTGGGTCTTCAAAAAAGTTTCAGCACAAGCGACATTAGTCAGCTGCCTTCTCCCGATGATTGCCCGAACGCCCAGGGACTAAGAAACGCAGTTTCGGAACTGGCACTCAACTCGTTACAGAGATCGGGATTGTTATTGGAAAATGCCCGGCTCGATCACACTTCCAGGTAAGTCAATCGCGGTTTTCAGATTTCAGATTATTTTCAAAACGGAACCGTTAAAAACAACAACATTGATAAAAAAATTATCCCGAACTAAAATTATTTTTTGTCTGTCCGTTTTCCGTTCTCCGGTTCTCTGTTACCTGACTTTTTCAACTATAACTTCCGAACGCACTATTGCCCAAACTAGGTTGCATTAATTCGATTATTTTCCAGCTTAAAATTGTTTATTATTTATTATTGTTATACATTGCTGGTAAATAATAATACAATACATACTTTTTTTAACCCTGAAACCCGCTAGGTAAATTATAATTTTAGTCATTCTCGCTGTCATGGCATGTCAGACTCACTATCCATACACTCAAAGTCATATTCGGAGGTCTCCGAAAAATAATGACTAAGGCATGGAAGCTCTGGGTTTTTAAGTAGAGCCAATATATCAGGTGATAGTGGTTTTTTTGGTCTTACAGTTTTTGGTCGGTAACTGGCTATAACGGGGTCAGAGGACACTAATAACATTCGCATCAAGTCTTTATTCATAGCAATGCGCGATTTTATTTGGGTGTGATGCTCGCGATATCGCCGACAATCTTTGTGACGTGCCTCTTGGTCCTCCTCAGAGAGCTGCCCAATAGACAGAACACAATGTTTAATAATATCTGTGGAACGATATAATATAATACCACGAGTAAAGACTTAAATATTTTAAATATTTCTTCTACAAGGTTTTTCTTACTAGAGACACTCCAAAATTGAAACAACGTTTTTTTCGATATTTCGTACATTTCTAAAAACAAAAGTAGTCTTGCAATTTTGAGTTTAAACGTGTGTATAAAATGAAAACAATATGTATAAAAATAATTCATTATAATTGGCTCATTGCGCAAGCAATACATGCGATAAACAACTTTAAGAGTAAATTAATTGTTAATATTTTTATCACTCAGAGGTTGAGATTTCTAACTGGCATAAGTTTTGCGATTATTTGCGACATTTTTGGCTGACAGTTTTTAGTAGTTTACACCCTTGCCTAATAAAAAATATATATTTCTGCTTGGCACTCGTTGGCCTTCATATTTTTTTACTCTATAGAATTTGAAAAATTAAATATTAATGGTACTTATCCCGTCACTTCTTGTCAAATCGCAGAAAAAACACAAACATTCTACATGGCATGTACAGGTCTAAACTAATTAACAGAACTGACATCCGTTGTCAAATACTTAAAGCGGCATTTGTTTTCAATGCCTACTAAGCCATTTAAAAAGTAGAAAAACTTCGTTATTTTTTTGAAGCGATTGCAATAAAAATAGAATTTCTTTTAAACATCTGATATTGTGCCTTTATCAAAAATTCTTGAAAGAAAGCAATACTGTTTTTACATGTTTCAGTATGTTCTTAATTTAAAAACATTGACAAATTTTGCATTTTTAATAATGATTTATTGCAACCTAGTTTATGCATGGGGCCTACAGCGGAACGGTTCGAGCAAAATTTTGCTCCTTTTTAACGGTCCACTGGATGCACAAGATATGTAAAAATGGCCGCTTTCGAACCTCGTCGGCCATCTTTTTTTTTGCTATTTAAAATTAGGCACAAATATGCAGCCTAGCGCCGTGACGAAACCTATTGAAAATGGAGGAGCTGGGGGGCTCGAGAAGTATTTTTAAAAAATAAAAAATCGCGTTTGCAAGGGCTCAAGAAAAAAGTCAATTCTCGAAAATGGTTTATGCAATTGGAAAAAGTCTTAAACGATCCACGAGATCGAGGGCTGTAAACCTTTATTCTTCATAATTTTCAAAAATTTACAGGTTGTGTCCCGTATTTTAAGAAAACTGGACATTGGGGTGTCCTTGTAATAGTAATTGACCAGAACTAGCTAAAACTGTTGTATTTAATGTTTTCAGAAGTATAACAGGTGTCTTAAATTTGCAGCTATCAACTTCAAATTTAGCAGAGAAGTCTCCACCCATATCTAAACTCTTGAAACTGGACGTCATGGAATATGGCGAAATGTTTTGTAAAAATGTTTGCAATTTTTTTTGGATTTTTTTGTTTCCCAGAAAAATAAATATTTTTTTCGGAAACCATTAATCCGATCGCCAAATTTCTTTAAAGAGCAGATGCGGAAGATCCGGTACTATAACTCTCATTGTATGCATTTATTCGATTATTATTTATTCGGTTTTGAAATTATAGAGAAAATCTAAAAGATCCTGAAAATTGTTTTTTTTTGCAGAGATAATTACTTGGCGTAAATCAAAATTCAAGAAGTGTTATAGGTTGCATCAAGATCTACAATTTTTGTATTTACTGTTTTCGTCTATCACTTATGCTGCTCGACATATTTGAAAAAAATCAATATGAAAATCGTTATTCCTTGCGTCCCGTCCAGTCGCGATGACGTCATTCACTATTACGGTGTGCTGCAAGAATTATTTTCTCGAAAACCATTTACTCTATTGGAAAAATTCTGGACCAGGACCTCTAATTATTATATACATTATATACAGGGTGTGTTATTTTTCGGCAAAAATTCTAAATAATCATAAAAATTTTGCTTTTTTGTGGGTAAATTATTCTTTTAAATTTAAAACGCCAAAAGAATTTGGTTTAAACAGTATCGTAAACTGGGTCGAGAGCTACAATTTACATATTTACAGTTCTTGCCCATTATACAGGGTGCGCGAGATATTTGAACAAAAATATTTACCAAAGTTTGTCATGATTTGACATTTTGGCGGCCGTGAAAGGCACCTTATACAGGGTGTGTACATAATGAAATAACATTCATTTTGCGAAAGTTTCATAGTGGTTTTATTTGTTGACGGGTCAAGCCTATTGAAATCTTGATTAATCGTATTTACAACCAGTCTGATGTAACCAGATATGGTGAAATATTAGTTCTACGCCTAACTCTATATGCCAATATAAAATGAGAGTTTTGAAATTCTTGAATACGATACTTACCTATAGTACCTAGACAAGGCACGAATTCACTGGTACTATAATTAAACTGTGATAACGCTAGAGTATTCTGTGACGACTTCCATAAATTAATTTCAGAAGACTGTATGCAACCTTCAACTTGCTTGTAAAGTGCTTTTAAAATTTTAGTTGGCAAATCTAAACTCCCGAGCTCTTTAGACAGAAATTTATATTACTTTCAACATTATCAATTTGATTGTCATTTCCGTAAAATCTATTCAAATCAGAATTAATACCATCGCCTGCTTAATATTATTAAATATTAATTTAATATTATTATATTATTAAATAATATTACCATTCCAGGCAGTGCTATGTTGAGGTGTCTTGATGTCGAAAATTGATTTCTAAGGAGCAACTTTGCACACGTCGTGGTCGATGGTCTTCCTTTGACCACTGCATTAGAACAAAATTTCTTGCCTCGGTAATATTTCATTGCACCTAGTTACTATAGTTATGTGGGTATAGCGCTTTAAAAAAACAATGACTATGTATAATTTACGATAAAAGTAAAAGATAAAAAAGATTATTTTTCCAGGTGTTGTATACTTTTTGAACTATGAGGATTGTAATGAAGTTAATATAATACTAACAATACATTTATTTTGCTGTATTCAACATTCAATACAATAAGATATTATAAATACTATGGCATATAATATAAACAAAAGAAGAAAAAAAATCAAAAATAGCGTGCAAAATCTCAAAACTAAACTCTAAAATCTCCTGCATTGTGCTTGTTGGCTAAAGAATTTTTGTCTTAATTTCCTTTTAAAAAAAGTAATGATGATAGGACTTTTAAAGAAAGAAAAGATTATTTGAAAGAGACTTTCTGTGCGGTAGTGGAGAGGTAAGACCCTTAAAGCTAATGTTTATACGTTTTTTTATTTAAGTGAGGTGGACTGTTATTAAAAATATTGACATGGAAAAATACCAAGGAGTGCAGTCTGCGCCTGTTCTGCATATTCAACCATTTGGCATCCTCTGGTTTGTGCGAAACTGTATCATATTTCCCTATACCATAAATAAACCACAGATAGTTTGTACTCTCTCAATTCTATTTGTGTCGATTTTATCCAAGCGTGCACCATACAAAATGTCACAAAAGAATCTGCTACTGCTATTTTTTGAACTTCAGACAATAAACGGCGATGCGGATAAAGCAATCTCAAGGAGTTGTATGCCCTTTGAAAATAATACCGAACTTGCTCTCTAAGACCAAAATCTGTGTTAATTCTTAGACCAATAGGGCAATCTGAAACATTTCCATTAGTATAACTTTTCTTCGAATAAAATATCATTCTTTTAAATGAATGCCCAAATAGCAAAAAACTTGATCGTATGGAGAAATTAGAAATCACAACAGCATTTTTAACGATAGAAACTGCGAGCCTCCTTCGGTATAACTTTGTTTGGAGTTTTTTGATATCTTAATTACATTTCTTATTTCGACTTTCTAATTTTAATTGATTTTTTTGCAGATCCTGTTCGACGTGGGTGGCGGTAGGAGACATCGCCTCTACTTCCCAACTGCCGTCGCCGCATGGGGGTCAAGCGGCTGGCGGCAACGCCCGCCAACCTAGCAGTACACCGCCTCCGCCGGCCTTCACTGCCGCCGATTTTATCCGATCCGTTAACAAAAAAGTTAGTGAAATTTATAATAGAACAATAATAAATCATACACCCGGACCAAGTGAGCCAGTGGCGTGTGTGGTCAGTTTTTCCATATTTTCTCTCCACGTTTTTGCTATATCCATTTCGATTTCTGCTTCCATCTTGTTTTTGGTCTTCCCGATCGTGTTTCCAATCGATGCAATAAGTAAGAATTAGTTTTGCTATTCTTCTATTCTGTATCTGGTTTGTTATAAAGGTATTTCAATTTTTCATTTTTCGTTCTCATCCGTATTGTCCCATCGTTCTTTTCGACACGTAGTACTTTTTCCTCCCAGACTGCTTATCTGTTTCATTCTGCTTTGTTTAGTGTCCATGATTCCCCTACTATGGGTATTACGACCGCCTTGTATAGTCCTACTCTAGCTTTTCTGGATATAAGTTTACTCATGAGTAGTTTATTCAATGCGTAAGTGCTAAGTGCTAAGTACTAAGCTTTCTACTAAACACGGTTACCTGGTAAGGTAATTTTTTTTGGTCTCTTACAATTGTCAGGTTTCTTTCGAATATTTCTTCTCTTCCTTATTGCTGTTTTGTCTTATTATCTTTTGAGTTTTTATTTACTTTTTTTTTCCTCCTTTATGACCTCTTCGAAGCACAGACTTAGCAATATTGAGGATAGTGCACCACCTTGTTCTTCGTGGTATTGGTGGTTTGTTACCGATTCCAAGTTCTCTCAAACATAATTCCAAGACAATGAACGACCGGATTGAGTGCGGGGTTCCCCAGGGATCCATTTTAGGGCCGTCGTCCTCGTACGTCGTACCAAGTGCTTTAATAGAGGACTTGTTTTTCAGTACGCCGACGCGGTTTCCATAGCGTCATCTGATGTGAACCTCGAGAAACTTCAAACTTCAAAAACATCAAATTATGTTCCATTTAAATTATATTGTAAACCTAACCTTGTTTGCGTCAGAGTATTCATTCTTTTCGGCGATGCTGTGTCATTATTGTATAACGAGTCGGTTGGCAATAAAGTGCTATTATTAATACTTGGATGTTCCTCTTCGTGTTTTCCTCCCACTTGATTTACTCCCCAGTCATGTTGGTCTCTTAGCTGGTCATCAGCAAAGGTTTGTCATATGTTATACATTATTCGATAAGTTTTCGGTGTTCTAACGGTTCGCTCCACTTTAGGTTCGTCAGAATTATATCAGACGTCGACTGCTGACCACGTACAAAGCCTTAGAGCGACTTTCGCAAAGCGAGTTCAACTTGGATAGGCTGGAAGTTGCCCCATCTACGGCCCGGGCGAGTATTGAGCCCCCTCAGGCTACCATGTGCCCTGGCCCCACCCGGCTCTCAGTGCCTGGATCAAGTCCCACCCCGAGCAAGTCGCCGACGACTTCCAGCAGCACCAACGCCGCCATGTTGCGAGCAGCGAAACAACGGGCGGGAAAAAACCTCCCGTTGACCATCATGGACGTGGAGAGGGAGAGGGGAAAACCGTTGTCGAAATACGAACGGAACATGATGATTTTCAATTGGCTCCACACCTTGGACGACACGGCCTTCGTCGAGGGCATTCAGTAAAGGTAATCGTAAATTTCCCGCCACTTACGACAATGCCTGACTTTAGAATGAATGGGTTTTTTAACGGAACCGTTCCAAATTACGTCTCGATGTAAAGTAAACAATTATTTTCAAAAAAATTATAAAGTACGAGTGAATATAATTATTATACAGGGTTAGTCAAAAGCCACAACGGCCACATATCTCAGGAATTATTGGAACCAAACCTGAAAATTAGGCTGGATCCAATGGTGACATAGACAACGTTGCCATATTTATGGTATGTTTTTATTTATTTTTTTTATTGTTCTTTTATTTTTCACACCCTATACCCAAATTCAATCGTCTTTGCAGGAATGACAAAAATGATTTAACCAATGATTTAAGAATTTAATTTATCAGCGACATAATGAATTATTTTAAGGAATTAGTAAACTTAAAAAAACGTGTTATGGACTAACCCTGTACATTATTTCAGAAAGTGTTTGTACCATGCAACACTAAACATAAAAACTGTGTGGTTTTTGTTAAACGAGCTGTCAAAAACAACATACACAATTTAAACTAGCTTTAACAAAATTAATGAAATACGTAGGTAATGCGAAACGCACTAAATCAAATTTGTTATGCCCATTAACGCGCCAAAGAGCACCTACGAAATATTTGATAGCAACACAAATTGTGGAATATTCGACAATTTGCGAAAAAAGGGAAAAGAGGCCGCCTAAAAATCTCATTTACAAATGAATAGATTTCAAAAGTATTGACAAATGTATAATAAATTACTGTAACTGCAAAAATGTGTCTCATGACAAATTAAACACATAGAAAAGGAAGAATAAATCGCCATTGTTATCCAAAATGCTTTACATATTTTGTTGAAACTTGGTAGGAGTGAAACAATATTCAATACCATCAAAAGAGGAAAAAAATCCTTTTTTATATATATTTCCGACAGTCTATTTCTCGCTATTGCTTAAAAAAATATATTTGTAAAAAACATACATAAATAAAAAAAGAAGTAATTAACAACAAAACAAATTTTGCGGATTATTTGGCAATTTTCGAAAAGAACATGGAAAAAAGGCTTAAACTCACATTTACCTTGAGCCATATTGAATAGATTTGTAAATCGGGATGTTGTAACATAAATGCCTCTACAGTTTTTGAAATTTCTGTCGACATTATGCATCGTTGTCTGTTTTTAGTTATTTATTTGCCTTCTATTGTTAATTATTACTTAAAAACACATCTTTAATCAAAATGTCGCATTTTGTATTAGCAATTTAAAAAGAATTATATGTGTCTTGTTTGTTGCCTATTAAAACTGCAATTACATGTGCTCTAACGATGGCCTTACAGTGTGCGAAGCGGCCTAAAGAAGTTCTCTGATTTCAAAATGTCCAATAGTACTACAGACAATAAAAAAGTACAATGACAGGTCTCCGTTTAATCGCCATAACCAAAACTTTCAATTTTTAGCTTGCGCCGCCATACAAAAACTTGGATATTTTTTTAGACCGCCTTGTATACGAAAACGTTCCGATTTCATTCTTATTGTGATCTGTACATATACATATTACAAATTATTACTATTGAAACTGTTTGTGTTATGTTAAATGTAAGTGTATAAGGTATTTACTGGATATATATTAAATAACGGAAAATAATACTTATAAGATTGGAGAAAAAAAACATATTGTAGTACTAATTATTTAGGTGTATCCAATAAAACTCATTAAAAATCATATCATAATAAAATTCTTTGCGATTAAAAGTCCGTTTTTTATTTAATTAAGACACAACGTTTTAGCAATAATCCAAACCACTCATGTAACTGGCATCTTTAAAAGTCAGCGTGAATGCCTGTGACATGAATATGTTTTTTTTAATAAAATTTATGTGATTTGGCAACACTGGATAATATTAGATTTCTCTGTAAAGCAACAGAGTTGGCGCAGAAGCATCAATGCAGCGTTGCTTATGCGCAGTATCATAGGTTGTATTATATTGGTCGACGTGCTCATGGCTTTTGTGACATAACTTTTGTTATATCTGTGGTGGTTATCTCGTAGTAAAGCAAAGGCAAACTATAACTTCTTTTGTGAAAAATGTATACCACCCTTATTTTGGTGTAAAAACTGTCGACCAAGACAAGTCCTTGACTCCTCATACTATTTGGTCCGTTTCTGTTGAAGCATTAAGAAACCGACGAAAAGTTAGAAAGAAGTGTTTAAGGTATGGTGTTCCTATAGTATGGCGAGAGTCTAGGAATCACAGTGATATTGTTATTTTTGTTCGTGTAATGTTCAAAACACAATGATCAATGCCTAGAAAAACGCCTGGGTTTCATTTAAAGAAGTAAGTTTCTTGGGAACTCCAAGGACGAAAACTACGAAAGTATTGTTCAAAATATGTTACAACACTTTCATCGTCTAGGTTGTAATATGAGTTTGAATGTGCATTTGCACTTGAACCATTTTCCTGAAAATCAGTTAGCGAAGAACAGAGACAGAGGTTTCATCAACATGGCGGATGTTAAAACTTGATTTGCCCCTAAAATCACGCAACCGAATGTCTTTCCGACTTTTTTTTCACTTTTTTTAACAAGGATTTCACCTTTTTACTGAATAAAAAAATAAATGATTTTAAACACATCTTTTTTTTCTTTAATATTTGCAAAAAAACCTTACGGGATACAAATAAATGCATAGCCTACCAAAATAATATTAAATCAGTTTTCAAAATAAAAACATCCGTCAAAAAGTTTAATTTTGTAGACCTGTGTAATTATTTAAAAAAATGTATGATAGTGATAGCATAAATTTAAACTATTGATTTTATTTAATACTACTACTATCCTGCATTATTACAGTCGTGACTCTAGTTAGGTAACATCTGATCGTATTTTATCCAGACGCAACGGAAAACAAAGCGAATTTCGAAAAAACATTTTCGTTAGGCGAGAAAAAATAAACAATTTCTAATTAATAAAGTGCGATGTTCGGTGCGCACCTGATGTATTCGATCGCACGAGTTAACTCATCAGCAAAAATTCCAGAATGCTATGCCAGCGGAGTCCTATCGCTTCATCTAATAAAGCTATTTTGCATTTTGCCCGCAGTTAGTTGTTGTAACAAACTTATGGTAAAATTAAATATTTTTTTTTAACGCAAAGGTAGTTAACTGGCGCAGTCAGTAAGATAATATAACGATGGTAAAAAAATTGCTAAATTTTTAAATATCATGGAAAATTGTGGTGAAAAGAAAATACCAGATATTCTGCCTCTTTCGATAAGAGGTGGGCACTTTATTAAAAACTTGCAGCACAATCCAAACGAGTTAGCTGAAAGCATTTTACATTAAATTCTCACAAAATTTAACCAGACATTTAAGCAAATCTGTCAAAATGACAAATATAAACACTTACGTAGTTCTAACAACTTTAAATGATTTAGAAAATTCGATAACTGTCACAAAATTAAAAGCTATTGGCCCAAGTATAATTAAAATTAACGAACTGTTTATTTTGCGAACTAAAGTAGGAAAAGAACAAACGATTCTACATGTAGCTTTAGTAACTTTAGAACCAAGCCACTATCAAACCTAAGGAATCTAAAGCAATAGGACAGAGATGTTTTCTTTATCTGTCTGCTACAGTTTCACAAAATATAATAGGATTGCTTAATAGTAGAACACTTTTGTTATTTCAAATGAGATTAAAAACAATTATTAAAACTGAAATAACTAGAGATGAAATCCATAGTATAATAGATTTGAAGAACAAATAATTATTTCAAATTTATTAATTTCATCCATTTATCAATCATTGGCTTATGATTGTTTTCTAGTTTTTGTATGTACATTTACTCTGTATGTTTACTAGGTTGAAATTAGTAATTTAAAAGTTATCATTTTTTTACTAGGGTCAAAATGTAGAATTATTAATGTTTTTCCTTTTCTTTTTCCAGTATTTTCTTTTCTTTTTTTTTGTTCTACCAAGATGCCTTCAAGGTTAGAATTTGGTATAGTTTTTGTCTAATTAGTTTATTGTTTAGCTAATAGTATGACCTTTTTTTCCACCTTCGAGATTACTCTTGTTTAATGAAACCTGTATTTACCGTCTTCGTGGGATGTATTGGACTTGCCTTATAACATTGTATTTGTATTTTGTGACAGATGACACTTTTATAATATTTAATAACGTGTCGAATGATTTTTGAATATTTGCATCTCTATTCAAGTCCCACAAGACGTGAGAGTTAATTTATGGTTGTATTGTCGCGTGCAAAGCACCTTATAAAAACCGAATTTTAACATGCATAACATAATGAGCTATGCAATGGCCTATTCGTCTGTACCCATGAAGAACTTAAGAAAAATGAAGATAGCAGTACTTGCAAATCCATAAAAACCCAACTTAAAGTCAACCAGCTAATTACAATCAATTACAAAATTTCATTCCCTGGATTTTAACGTTAACGTTAAACTTTAACGTAACGCTTAAGACGAATATCAAAATTGGATGCCTTTTGAAATTAATAATAATCATTAATGATGCTTGAACAATCAACGCCAGTAAATATACCAATGCATCAGAGATTAATTGTATATTGTGTTTATTAATAAGTAAATAGAATAAAATAAAAAGAAAAACACTTCTCCTTTGCTTTCTCTATGTATCATATGGTGGATTGGTTGTGCTTTTAAATTTGAAAATATATTTCATTTTTTCCTTTTTTTGTATTGTCATCAACTAAGCTTAGCAAGATATTCTGCACTTCTTTTGCACTTCTTAAAAGGACGCATTTGTCGGTTTAACCTCTGGGGTACACTTGAAATTTAACACACGAACGAAAAGAAACAGTTTTATTTGTTTATATCTATTAACCGCAAAAAGTGATCTACAATATTGACCTTGACTGTCCAATTGTTCGGGCGTTATAAAAATACGGTTACGCGGAAAAAGTGAACGATGCGGCAACGTCGCGGGCTGTTCCTCGTTTATCGCGACGCGTAGGCGGAACAGCCGCAAGAGCACGCGGTCGGTATCCTGAAGCTGTCGAACTTCAGCTGCTTCTTCTCGTAAACCAGAAACTTAACCTCTTGACGCTGCTGCGCGCATTCCCCTTCCAAGGCCGTGCAGAACACGGTGTTGCCGTCGCTTTCGGCCCTGCAAAGGACGCGATTGACTCAAGTAGAAACGGCATAAAAAATGTCACACTCACAAGCAGATTTCCGAAGTAAACGTCTGTGTGTGGATTTGGTCGCTCAAATTGACGATGTACTTCCAGTGACCGTCGGTGTTTCGCATCACTAGAGGTGTTGTGGTCTTCGATTTTCCCCTACGGATATCATTTAACATTAACCTGGGACTCCGATATCGATGAAACTAATATTATATATAAATATTAGTATATTTTGTGGTTTTCTAATGCATTATGATATGTAGTATACACTGGAGATGAGCGGGACCATCGGAAACGTTCAATTCCAAAAGGTTTCTGCGTGACTTCAATTTGATTTTTTTTTTTAGAAACTAGTGACAAGATAAAAAAATATTTTTTGAACGACAATTTGATATGCTTTAATACGTGTTTAAATTGATTAAAATTTATATATGCTTTTTAGGTTTAGCATAGTCAAATAATTGCACGAGTCAAACTAAATTTTCTTTATTACTGAAAACAAATGGAGTTATTGACAATTAAGAACTCAACATTTGTTTTTTAATAATTGGCGTGACTCCCTCTGGTCCTAATAACAACTTGGATTGAGGTCGGGACTGCATGCTAGCCACTCCATAACTCGAAAACCGACTTCTAACGTAATGTAATGTTGGACGATCCGCGCGGTGTGCGGCCTAGCATTGTCATGCATAAAAATGAATTTTTCTCCAATGTAGTTGACATATGGTACCACGTGATCTGATAAAATATCGTCGATGTACCTAGCACCTGTTAAACCTTCTGCCTCTTGACCACGACCGCTCTTACGAGTGAAAACGGGGTCGGTTCGTGCGTCCATTGAAATTGAACCCCATATTATGCAGGAACCACCTCCATAAGAGCTCCGCTTTTCATTGCAGCATTCTGCAAATCGGTCACCTGGTCTTCTTAACTTTTTTTGTCGATCACTACCAAAAAGGCATATTCTGGTCTCATCTTAGAACAGAACAGACCCCCATTGGTCCAATGTCCAATTCAAATGATCCCGTGCAAAGCGTAAGTTCTGGATCAATTGCAGTTGTTTTTGAGGTCAGGTTATTTTCCTTCTGTCTTCTTCTCAGTGTCCACTCACTAATAGCTACACTTCGAACTTCATGGAGCTGTGGCGATTTCTTATTATTGTTGACACAATAAAGCGATCATCACGTGCCTTCTGCCTGGTCCAGGGCGCCTAGCAAAGGATCCAGTCTCCTCATACCGTTGGCATACTCTTCGAACTGCTGTTGAGCAACAGCTCTTTAGCGAAGTCCACTTTCGATTAAGTCGCTTTTGCGGTGTAGTATGTATCAAGCTAAGACAATTGGACGCATCCAAATGATTAAAAAGCAATATTAATTTAAGTCTACAACAAGTCTGTTACTATCGCTATAACTACTACATGAACAAGTTTCATTTCTTTAACGGTAGCTACGCATACAAAAGACCAGCACTCTTGACAAATCTAAAGTCATATTCAAGCATATAAATTGTCTTCCAAATAGCATGTTTATTTTTTGGGTCAGATGAGTAGTTTCTACAAAAAATATGTTAAAAGTAAAAAATTTAGAGTGATTCGATTTCTAAGCATGTAAGTTTATGTATTAAGTATCTGTGTTTACTTGTCCTATTGTCACATTGTATGTATTGTATTTAAACGGTAATTTGACGGTCCTACAACATTTATCGCTACTGTAGCGATTCTATTTACACGTCTTGAGCTTATGTTTTCGTCGATGTTTTTGGATGGCGCTGCAAGTGCTGCGACCACCTCTGGGTTACTACTAATATTAAATTTTTCTGTGACATTATTGAATCCATCTTGGCTAATACATCTTTGCCTGTTGTTCGTAAATACTGATGAAATACTTTTATTTGATTTTACGTGGCTAATTTTTAGGATTTTCTTATTCATTCTTTATTATATAATTAAATTTTTTTAGCTTTAACTTCTTTTAGAATGTATCTCCAAATTGGTTCTGATGTACAGGTTAAAATAGATACTAACGTCATATGACGTATTTATTGAAATTATTTGTCACAGATTAAATTAGAAAAATGTTCAAATTTTCACAGTTTTTAATATTTATATGACAGCTGTTTCGACAACACCGTGCCTTTATCAAATACAAAATATGACGATATATAAAAACATAAAAACAGTACTTAACGATTCATCACATTTTAATGACAAGGATAAATACAAACTAATAATCATGAACCCTCAACCTCCAAAGTTATATTCTTTAATTAAATTACGCAAACAGCATATGCCAATAAGTCTTGTAGTTTCTTTTGTAACAGCGCCATCAGTTAAATTTTCAACAAGATTATTTAAAATTTTAGAATATAATACTGCCTTTAAACCTAGATATGCTATCAAAAACTCATTCGAACTAATTAAGAAGGTTAAAAACTTATTTCCTAGCATTCCACCAATGGACGTAATAAACATAATAGACAATATTCTCACGCAGAGACAAGTTAACCCTATCATAAAACAAGACTTGCTAGATAGTTTAATAGTTTGGTTAGACCAAAATTATTTTGAATTTAATGGTCAATTTTATATTGCTAAGGAAGGATTAATTATGGGAAACCCACTTAGTCCACTACTTACAGAAATGTTCATGGACAATTTAGAAAATATTATACATAAACATCCTCTGAGTAAAGGATTTCTCTGGTGGTATAGATACGTAGATGATGTTTTTGCTTGTTTCACTGGAACCGAAAGACAACTGCAGTCCTTTTTGAGTCATATTAACTCGATACATAACCGTATAAAATTTACCATAGAGACGGAAGATAACTCTTACACATGGACACAATAATAAATAATAACTCAAATCACCCTTGCACACACAAAATGTCTGTCCTTTATGCTTTTATCAACAGACTATTTAATGTACCACTTTCAAGAGAAAATTTTGAAAAAGAATTAAATATTATAAAACAATTGTGCAACAAGTGTGGTAAACGGCATTTAACTCACGAGTTTATTTGACACTTGCGGAGCGCAGCGGAGCGAGTGTTTAATAAACGAATGACTTAAAAAGTTTACCGAACGTGTTGCATACTATACTTTTTCTACGACCGTTAGTTTTTGGGTACATTTTCGCAAAACAACACGAATACATTCACTGACATGCAAAGGTCAAAATTCAAGGCGTGGAAAATATCTCCGAAAACATCCGATTGCTCCCAAATCTGTGCGGTAAAATCCCGGAAATGCTCGAAGTGGCTCGGATTCGTGGGAAAGGAAACTGACGTGGTAAAGTGACGCTTGCCGCACGCTAGATCCGTGTGTAAATAGGTATTTTACAGACGGGAGTAGAAAAATAGTTTTTAACAATAGTTACGACCCCTTTTTGATAGATAAGAATATAACTAAAAAGCAGTTACCAATAACTCTGAACTCTATCTATCCCATACTAAACACCGAAAAAAAAAATTTATAAAATAATAAAATACGTAAGAGAACCTAGCAAGAAAATTTCGAAACATCTATCTCAATTTGGTATTAATATTGCGTTTAAAACTGAAAACACCATAGGACATTTTCTAAAAAACAATAAAACAAAACTATCAAAAGCTCAAAAATCCGGAGTCTACAAGTTGAAATGTGGATCTTGTCCCAAAATTTATATCGGACAAACAGGTAAAACATTTAAGAAACGCATTAAGGAACATAAAAGGGCGTATAAAAATAAATGTTCGGATTCTAACTACGCCATTCATTTAAATTCAGATAATTTTGATATTTTACATAATCATTCAAAAAGCAAACAACTGAATATGTTGGAAGCTATGGAGATTAACAAAATGAGATATTCGATTCACTACTTAATGACAAATTGGATTTAAATGCGTCTCCGTTGTTAAATTTAAATTTATAACCTTTAATTAAAAGTCTATTACTACATGTTTATATATATATATATATATATATATATATATATATATATATATATATATATATATATATATATATATATATATATATATATATATATATATATATATATATATATATGTATGTGTGTGTGTGTCGGGATATAGTATTATTTTGTTTTTGATAAAGGCATGGTGTTGCCGAAACAGCTGTCATATCAGTATTACAAACTGTGAAAATTCGAACCTTTTTTGATCTAATTTAATTTGTGTTAACTGGATTTTCATCAAGTAAAATCCGCCTCTGTCCGAAATTATTTGTAATTGTATGCAACTTCCAGCTTAGAATATATTTAGCTATCAACATGCCGATATTACATAATCTAAAATTTCCTTTGAAAAGGTGTTTTATTGCCATATCTTAAAAAAATAACAAATCCTGCCGGAAAAATGTACGTTTCCGCCCGATTTAATCGGGATTTGAGTCAGGCCTAGACCCAATAGATATCCGCTACCATCAAAATAAAACGTTATTGCGTTAAAAAATAATAAACGACTTGTCGATTATGATTTGCGTATTATAGTTTGGTTTGTGTTTGCCTGTGGGCATGAGGCACATGACGTATGAAGCCGGATCCATTAGGGATGCGGTTGGATAATACTCTTAACACAATTCTCAGTAAAACCGTGTATTTTCAGTGAATATTGCCGCTTGCGCGTGGGCATTCTCATTCTATTTATAGCGAGCTCTAGTCAACACCAATATTGATTGTTCGTGAAAACAGGCTTGGCGAATGTTGGTTTTTAAATGTTTTTCTAAAACTTAGAAGGGGAATAACTGGGAAAAGCGAAAATTTCAGGGAACAGTGACTCGTTTTCGTCAACGACTGCTTCATTTAGACATTTCTTCCAGGGGTTCGGATTTCAGACTTCATTTATCTTGTCTGCCGATATTTTGGAAATAACTTGTGGAATCTATTTTTTAATGTGGATGGGATTTTCCCTAATGGTGTGTCAATACTACAAAACAGTCAGTTGTTTCCTAGTATAGGCAATAGGACAGGGTGATTCGTATAACCTCAGACATAGGTTGTATTTGGTAGTATATGTTTAGATTCTAACCTATTTTGGGAAAGTCATATCAAATCAGTTACTAACCAAATGAATAAATAAATAAATAAATAAATAAGCGGACTTTTATGTTGTGGAAAGAATCATAAGAACAATGACATTTAAAAAGAAGTACCTTCTCTTGTAGAGAAATTCACATTTATATTATTAGATCACCTGATAACCTACGAGTTCTACAGCATGAGTTTAGTCGTACCATAAGAATCAGCTGTATAACAAATATTGACTTGATTCTGTTAGACTAGAAATAAAATTTAAAAACTCAATATGGAGTAAAACAGGAGGAGTTTTTTAGACTAACTGAGAGTGGAGGAAAACTAACTGGCAGATTGCTGAGAGAGCGCATAAGTTGTGTGAGTGGAGGGAATTTTATATTTCGTTTTATTATGTATTGTATTTGTTCCTATGTCTTTTTTGTATGTACCTTTGTTGGGTGTTAGTATTAATGTGAATTTGCTCAAATCAATGAATAAAGATATTAACCAAATAAGTAAGTAAAATAGTCACTTAAAATTTACGAGTAAATGGCAGTGGTGTGCCATTATTTTCTATTTCTATTTCTATGAGATATAACATATAACACATTTATCAAATTTTTCGAAGATAACCTAAAGAGGATTCTTTCTGGTTGCTGACCCGATCCTGGAAATGGAAAAACTGTCCTAGTACCTGCACAAAGTTTCCGTAGCTTCGCCGAAACCACCCCTGGACGACAAGTTGACGGAAAAGGTCATGCTCCTGTTTAAAACCTTCATAAAGGCCCATTCCTTCGATGCCAGCGCCTCTCGGACCTCATCCTCGGGGTAGTAAATTCCATGGTGCCTCTCGCAGATGTTGTTGGGACATTCGACATACCTGTCGAAATACACCGGACGCAAGTGCATCTCGGGGTGCATCTGGAGCCTGCTCATGATGGCATACCTCTCTCTAGGAGTGACGAAGTCCTTGAAATACGCGAGAAACATCTTTAAGAAACGTTTAAACTTAAACGTTAAATATAATTTTAGTTAGTTTTAGTTAATTTGGTACGTCTGGTTCCAGTATGCCGGGCGTTCCTCAGGGCAATGTTCTCAAGCCCTTGCTTTTCCTGGTGTGTATTAATGACATAGCTATGCATGTATGACTATCAATTACAGAACTATAACTGGGAAGGAGTACAGTTTAATTTTGAAGACAAACCTAGTCTAATAGAATAGTTTCCAGCTAAAAAAAGACCAAATTTCATCTTTTGTTATCTATTGTCAAATATTTAGAAGTCTATTTATCATCGAATATGTCTTGGGGATCATATTAATAACTAAATCGATCTCAGCAAGTTAGAGTGAAGGCCTCTATTTGAACCTTCTTAGGCAAATTTAACTGATGAAATGAAATGGTCTTCCTCACCTTTGGAATAATTTTTAGCCCTACTGAAGCGATTCAGAGGTTAAAGTGTGAAACTCTTGGTAGTTTTCTTGTGTTAACGCATAAAATTCTTAGTGGAGTTTAATTATACGAAATTCAAATGTATGTCTTCATATAATAATAAATAAGCAAATACCACCTTTAAAATCATATCATGCACATGCACTTATCATACGCATACGCATAGGTCTAAAAATCATGGTTTGGCTAGTTATATTATTTTTCAAATTTGTGATTTTAAATTCCAAACAAAATCTTTTTATAAGATTGCACATTCTCTAGGTTTGAGTAGGGGGCAGTCGGATACTCTTGGGTAGCCTTAATTTTTGTTTGTATGCTTGGTTTTGTCTTGGGTTACATCAATTTTTTGATTTTAGTGCCAGATAAAATGTATTTATAATATAGGGGTATCATTGTTTCAGGGTTCTATGCACTCAATTCGCATAGTGGACAAAGTCGTCTGATGTCTTAAAAAAGTATATTTTTAAGCAAAGCAGTATATTTTGAACTTATCAAACTATTCACGTAGGTTAGGTTAATTTTTAATGCTATATGTACAAAAATTAGTTTTAAAGAAATGGCGTAATCGTTATAAGATTTTCAAAAAATGAAATGCTATTACTATGTCGTTACTGTCACCTTTTGCGTTGTTATTGCTAGTTCAATTGTTTTTTTCCATTGGTCGCTAAATAAATACGTATATAACTCACCCCCGATGGAAAAAACAGTTGAAAGGACGCGAAGAACGCCAGATAGGGATACTTCGTGGGCGACATCGTCTTCGGAGCAGAGTCGGAGCAAAATTACCAGTATAAAACGTCACGGACGTGTGCGGTTTCGTTTGATAAAGAAATCCCTCTTAATCAATTCCCGCACTAATTAACCGCTGGGCTTCCTTTTTACTACAAAAATCGGGCGTAAACCTGGTACATTTCTGGGTAAATTTTTCGTTATTCGGAACGACTTACGCAGTGGGGATTCCCACACCAATCCGTTTGATCCGGGCGACACACGCCAAATTTTTGAAATTTTGTTCATGTGAAGGAAACTGATTACTCTCATGTGTCCAATGCACTGCCACTCCAACTTACGATGCTTCAAAACTGCTGTCATTTGGTGCGGTGTGCTGGTCCAAGATTGCCTTATCTTTATTCGATTCCTTTAAAAGTTCACATATCCTCTGGATAAAGATTAATGATGATAACTGCCTAACAACCACCTTTCATCTTAGCTAGCTCGAAGAAGATCTAGATTTTGATTTCTTAGGACCCGAATTTGTTTACAAAAAAAAGACAAACTTTTATTCCCATTGACTTTACCAAAGTATTGGATAAAGTCATATAAAATATATAAAAATTAATTATATAATATATTCATCTTTAGCATAAAAAGCATTTTTGGTTAAATTTTTAAGTACACTTTAAAGGCACTGCTTTTTGTATTTTTTTAAACTCGGTGGGATGTTTATTAAAGAGGATAACTGGTAGAACTATCGGGCTATTTCCTACCTTAGCCAGCCTGTGCCGAGGCAATATTAAGTTTAAATTGACCGTTTCTGGTCTCAGGGTAATCTCATATATTATTTTTTATATGCATAATCGAAGCTAAAATGTATAGAGATGGGAACGTTAATTAATTTAGTTTAAGATATAATATTTTGCAAGAGTATGTGATATATGGCTTAAACATAAAATAATTATCAGTATTCTCTTCACACGATGGCATATAACAAGCAGGAATGTACAAAGCCATAATAGTAAAGTAACAAAGGCTCATCCTTTTATCTTAATTGCCAAAGTACATACGCATAAACTGACAGTTTCTGCTTCAACTTGATTAGTCCACCTGTTTGTCAAATAAAACTCCCAGATATTTCACAACTCTGGATTGTTTAACCGTTTTATTATTTAATTTAAGAAGAACACTCAAGGACAACCCATCTGGAATACTGAGTCCCGATTAATCTTGGAAACGCATTCACGAAAATCATTAATATTACTTTAGTGAGTAAAAAACCGTTTCACCGTTTGTGGTGGTGGGTAGCTAAACATCGTCGCTATCAAAAATAACTCATCCACAAAAGCGGAAATTTCTAGGAAACGACTTACCCTGTATATAATTCCAACAATGTTCGAAATAGCCCTGGATCTCCTTAGTTTACTGGTATAATAATTTTTCCAATGGAGTGAATGGTTTTCAAAACACTACTTGTTTTCTGAAACCATGCAGTACGTGGTAATAGTAAATGACGTCATTGCGTCTGGATTGAGGGCGAGAAATAGTGATTTTCATTTGGATTTTGTCAAATATCTCGAACAAACTATGGGATAGACGAAACAATAGTTATAGCGTCGAGTCTCGTCTCGTCGAGATGTTTTTCTGGTCGCCAAAATAACTAAAAAAAAAAATTCAAAAACTAAACAAAATTACTTCGCGTCATTTTATTGCTCCCAATTTAAAGATTCCAAATGCGGGTCCAGACTTCTACTTCTCTTCCAAGTCTGAAGTTGGTAGCTGCAAATTTGGGGCACCTATTACGTTTTTTAATATTGCACGAAATATCGCGAGCACCCTGTACAATACTTAAAAATCTTAAATACAAAAGTTTTAGCTATCTATATGGTCTATATCACCATGTAAAAGAAACTGACATCTAAAACACAGATTTGAAATTATTGCCAATTTTCCATAATAGGAAGACCCATTTTTCAGTTTTTTTGAATTTGCGGCGCATCCTGTACATTTTTGAGAAATTGTCTAGAATAAAAGTTTATAGAGGCGTATCCTCTGCGTCTTCTGGTTCAAGAATTTTTTCGGTCTCGTCAAAAAAGAGTTTCGCTGTTTCGTGTGGTAAAAGGACGCATTGTTTTTCTATCGTGCTCCTGCGGACCACCATGGAACTTTCGGAAAATCGATGTAATTTAATTGTACGTGCACTCTGTAAAAAATGTCCTTCACATCTCGTCGAACTTCAAAGTCACAGCAAACATCGGTAAATATTAAAATTTGCGCAAATAATAGCGTTGTCGAATGATATTTTTTCAAATATCTTGTGCCTCTTATAATTGACGAAACCTGAAACTCTCTCACGACACGGTTTACGATACTGTTCAAATAAAATTATCCCATCTTTAACGGTTTTTCATTTATCGCCAATAATTTACCCACAAAAACGGATTTTTTTTGGGATATTTTAGATTTTTTGCCTATAAACGACACACATATGATACAATCATTGTTCGATGTAGATGTTATAGCACTGGATTTTCCACGCTTCCTGGTTCAAGAATTTTTTGAAAATAGTGAATGGTTTTCGAGAAAATAAGTTTTTTCTGAAACCATGCAGTGCGCCGAAATAATCAATGACGTCATCGCTTCTTGACAGTGCCCGAAATAACGATTTCAATATGGATTTTTACAAATATCCCGAGCAGCGTATGTGATAGACGAAAACCGCAAATACAAAATTTGTAGCTCTTGATGCGGCCTATGACACCATTTGAACCAATTAGCCATATTTTTTACGTTTTTTGATTTGCGGCTAATAATTTACTCTGTAAAAGAACAATTTTCTTTTTTGCCTATAATTTGAAAATCCTGTATATAATCCAAAAAATGCCTAAAATAAATGTTATTGCACTGGATCTTCCGCGTCTGCTGGTTAAAGAATTTTGCCAATCGGATGAACGATTATGGAGGCAAACATATTTTTCTGGAAGCTTAAATTGTCAAAAAAAATATTTCAAACATATTTAAAACATACTTGGTAAAATTTGATTGCGCCCAATTTCTATAGTTTAAATGTGGACACGGACTTTTACTTCTCTGCTAAATTTGAAGTTGATATCTGCAAATTTAGTACACTTAACACATTTTTCATTTAGCACGGAATATCGGGAACACCCTGTACAATGGGTGAAAACCTTAAATACCAAAATTGTTGCTGTCTATGCGGGCTATATCACAATATAAAAGAAAGCGAGATCTGAATCACAGTCTTTCTATTTTCAATTTTCAATAATAGTGGAACCCATTTTTCAGTTTTTTTAAATTTGCGGGGCACCCTGTATATTTTTGAAAATTTGTCAAGAATAAGAGCTTATGCAGTCAAATTTATGCATCTTTGAATTCCAGATTTTTTTTGGTCGCGTAAACCGTTTTCGAGAAATGATTTTTTTCTTAGACCTTTGCATTCGCGATTTTTAATTTTTTTTAAAATGCTGCTTCTGATGATGTTTGTAGACCTTTTTTTAGAATACTTCTCGACTCCCCCCCCTCCCAAACCATCCACCCCGACATTCATTAAAAACCAAAAGACGAGAACGGAGAACGGACAGACAAATTTTTTTTATTTTTTCGATGGCGAATATATTATCAATCTTTTGTTGTTGTCAATTCTCATGTAATCATTAAGGCTTCATTGAGCCCAAAGCTTGAAAATAAATGAATAATTTTTAATGCATCTTCAAAATGAACGTTGAAGTCTCCACATATAAAGACTAAAGTTGATGCTTTAATCACTCTATGCAAAAATTCAACCAACATATCTATAAAAAAATGACGTTTCCCGCGAAGGTTCCCTACATAAACAACCAATAAGATACTTTCGATTATTTACCATTAATTCAGTGAAAGAGTGTACAAATTTTTTTCCAACGCTGTTGTGAGTAATATTAATTTCGTTAAATGAGCAATCCTTGGGTAGAAAAATTGCAACACATTCACCTCTTGAATCAATTCGTGAGAAATATAAAGTTAAAACATAGTTTTGAATACAAAGTAAACATATACAAACTACATGCGGTTGAAGGGCAGAATCTACGGACTGTACTCCGAAGGTGGTGTGTGTACCCACCACTGGTCTGCGACGGCGTTACTGCGTAAAAGAACGAAAAAAACACTTACTTGAGCCTCTCTATGTTGTCTTTGGAAAGATAATATAATCGTAAGAGGACCATGTCATTTTTATTATTTGGGCGTGTTGTTATTATGACAGACCATGGAAAACATTATCAAAGAAATCGATGACGAAATATTCACAGACGTATATAAAATGATTGGTTAAATAAATTGTGAGATTTTTAGATTTTACAACAATATTTTTTTCTAAGTGTAGACTAATAGGGCAGTTTAAAATTTCCCAAATCTAATGCTTCAAAATTTAATATATTATAATGTTTTGCGAATAAGAATTCTCGAATCGATAGGACGGGAGGATCAAGTCATTTGAGATTGGTATTTAATATGAGAATGAAACCACGCGTGCTCTGAACGAAAATCGTATATTAAACTAAAGTTTGGCGGGCATGTAGACGCAGTTGCAGCCGCTGGGATATTTTAGGTTCCTCGTAACCAGTTGGTCCTCGATTGCATCGAACACCAATAACGTCACCTCGGAGAACTGCTGCTGGCATTCGGTGGTGTAGCCGTCGATGAGGTCCGAGAAGCCCTTCGAACACCTCGAGCCGGTTTGATCGCTGTAAAGAAAGATACATTTGAGTGATCTAAAGAAATTAACCGCAAAAAGGTCTTTTACGGGCACCGAATTGAAATACCATGTTAGAGTCACAACTTTCTCCACCATTGGAGGGTTCAGAATGGGTAAATATCATTTCAGTTTTTTTTTTTAATGATGATTGAAACATTCGTTCACGGGAAAAAGCTGCTGAAACAAAAAATTATTTGAATTAGGAACGATTGATGAACTACCAAGACCGAAGAAAAGCAAGAATCGAAATCAAGGCTATTGGTGAACTGCTTTTTAATGTTTTTTTTTTTAAATAGTTAAGACATTTGATACCGGCACTTCTATTGCTATCCAAATGCAAGGTTTTATTTTTTATTAGTATATTACCATCTTAAGACCAAGGAAGAATCAGCCACAAAAATTTCATATGGTGTATATTCAGCGCTATCGCGTTAAATACCAATCAATTTCGGTGTTCTGTTAGGAACTGTTTTGTTTTGGTTAGTACTGTTTCGTGGGAAATATTTTGTCTTATAAAGAAAACCCATCAGACCAATAGTCGGCATAGGCAGCTCAGACTCTTGTGGAGAATATTTTGAAAAATACAATGTATTGACAAAAATATCCATGTTGGACGGCCCGGTCCAAACTACATGGGTATAGGATAGGAGGATTATTTGGAAAACCTATATAGCGATAGTAAAGCAAAAGTTTTTAAAATATATTAAAACTAATTTTTGCCAAATAATAAATAATTGATTAATTTAATCACCACAGCAACCTAGGAGATTTCCGGTTTAATAAATTAAAATTTTAAAAAATTAAATTTTAATCTCAGAATTCAGAACTTCGCTTGGAATTTTACTCATACAAAAAACTGCCTGCACCCTAATCTGTCGAAACTCAAAAATCCGCTTGGAATTTTGGGCATACAAAAAAGTCCCTGCACCTTAATCTGTCATAACTCAGAACTCCATTTGGAATTTTGCGCATAGAAAAAACTCCCTGCACCCTATTCTCTAAGAACTCAGAACTCCGCTTGGAATTTTACTCATACAAAAAACTCCCTGCACCTTATTCTTTCAGAACTCAGAACTCCGCTTGGAATTTTAAGCATAGAAAAAACTCCCTGCACCTTAATCTGTCATAACTCAGAACTCCATTTGGAATTTTGCGCATAGAAAAAACTCCCTGCACCCTATTCTCTAAGAACTCAGAACTCCGCTTGGAATTTTACTCATACAAAAAACTCCCTGCACCTTATTCTTTCAGAACTCAGAACTCCGCTTGGAATTTTAAGCATAGAAAAAACTCCCTGCACCCTAATCTCTCAGAACTCCGCTTCGAATTTGACGTATACAAAAAACTCCCTGCACCTTAATCTCTCAGAACTCAGAACTCCGCTTGGAATTTTATGCATACAAAAAACTCCTTGCACCCTAATCTCTCAGAAGTCAGAACTCCGTTTGAATTTTTAGGCATACAAAATACTCCCTGAACCCTAATCTCTCAGAACTCAGAATTACGCTTGAAATTTTACACATACAAAAAACTCCCTGCACCCTAATCTCTCAGAACTCAGAATTACGCTTGAAATTTTACGCATACAAAAAACTCCCTGCACTCTAATCTCCGAATTGCTCCAGTAGGGTTGAAGTTTCTTTCAACGTTGAGGCGAATCTACCTCGCTGCTGTACGTCAGACCGTTAGGTAATATTGAATTAGTCAAATTGACCTGTGCAAGATGCCAGACAGGGCGGCAACCTTTAAGTAAAAGCCTAACTACGGCTTGATAGGTATTTGCGTCCAAGGCGTTTTTGATAGATAGAATAGATTTTTTATTATTTGTTCAGTAAACTATTAATTGAGTTTCTGTGGAAGAGTTGAATTCGAAAATAAAAAATTATGATTAATCGGGTTCTAAGTTTGGTTCGATTATGATTTTGCGTACGTGTTCTGATTGAAAGAGCTAAGAAAATGGACTTACTTGGCACAGGTGGAGAGCCACAAAATGGTGTCGTACTTCTCGGTATCGATGACGTGCATCAGTTTTTTGGCCCCCACGGTGGTGGGTCTGACCCTGACGTTGACGTTGGCGTTGCACAGTTCGCAATCGAGTCCGAATTTTTGCTCGAGCGTGACGTCAACGTACGAGGTGCGATTCATCATCTTGCCGAAAGTGTGGCCGTCGCAGTCGTATTCCCGCAGGCGTTTCTCGATTTTGGCAATCGTTTTGGGCTCCGTAGGCGCTTCCCAGCAGAAAGTATCGTCGCCGTTGGGAAAACACGACTCCCCGAGGAGCATTTCCGCCATGAGGACGTCGTTTTCGTCTCCCGAAGCGGACTGAAATCAAAATGCGAGAGTTTCGATGGACAGTTTCGGTACAGGAAGGCCGAAAGTTACCCTCGCGAAGGAAACTGCAAAGACGAAGACTGCAATCGCGGAGACCATGTCGGACGTTGGAGTTTCTTGCGAGGAATGATTAGAGGATCCCGGGTCTCGAAGCTGATAAACTCCGCTTGCGGTTTTCTGCGATATTTTACATTAGTAATTGTTGACGGTGAATTTCCGCCGCTCGATTTGATTTTGTATTAGCGGTTACGTCAAAAATGGCTTGCTAAGCGAGCTGGGAGGGTGCAAGTTTTAATTAGTTTTAAATTGCAACTTGGAGATGCGTTGATAAGTATTTTTCTACCCAACGAAAAATGCATGTAAAGTATTGTGATTTTCTACCATATTGCATGTTCTTATATTTAGTTCTTACTGGGCTGGTCATGTTGTTTTTTTACATTTATCTTTAAGTAAAAATACATATAAACAATAAAATTCCAATTAGTTACTCATATTTAATATTTTTTCCATAGTGATTTGTTAATTCCAGTACATATTTTTAAGATTATGTAAACCCTTGTGAAATCTCGTAGATTTACTTAAAATAATGCACAACCATCTAATAAAAAAAAAAATGACTTGAACTTTAGTTAATTGCATTTTTAAAACAACGTCGATTAAACATGAATCATTTTTATTCACTTTTATCTGAAGGATAGATTCTTATATCCTGTGGTTCGAAAACAATTTTTGCAAAGAAGAATATACTAAGGGTGTAGAGCACACTCGATAAATGTGTCAATATTTGATATTTAAAAAAATTCGTATCAAGAACCTACACAGTTCATGTGTAGATACAAATTTTGAGAATTCTACCCAACGTGTTTACTTTTAACTCTTGTAAGTAAATTTGTATTGTGTAAGGCATGAAAACATGGTTTTATGAAAAGACGGTCTAACTAAACTAAAACTAACTAAAAAAACTATAATAAAAATAAATAATTATTTTAATATTCCTTTAAAAGAGAAAGGCCAAAAATTAAGAAAAAAGATTGGTAAATTAATAAATTGTAGATCTGGCTGTGTTGTGTCGATTCTGCGCACACAATGGACGCTCAAGAAAAAATACTCAAGACGCATCTGGGATATTTTGGGAAAAACTAGAGAATTCATTTGCCTACTTTTCTTGGTAATATCGAAAACCCTCCAAATATAAAAGATATTTTAACGGAATGCCCAATTTTATTCTAGAAAAAGGTATTTTGAATAGGTTACATTGAAAATGTTATGGACATATCAGAGAAAGCTCAGCTTATTTTGAAATGTTCTTATAGCAAACAACCAGTACATGGAAACTCTAGAGAAATAGTATATTATGCAAAAGTTTTCGAGATTATTTGGCACGAGCGGAGCGCAGCGGAGCGAGTGTTTAATAAACGAGTGACTTAAAAAGTCTCCCGATCGTATTGCATACTATACTTTTTCTACGACCGTTACTTTTTAGGTACAGTTTCGCAAAACAACACGAATACATTCACTGACATGACCGTCAGAATTGAATTCAAGGCTTAGGAAATATCTCCGAAAATATCCGAGTGGGAAAGGAAACTGGCTTCCCGCACGTTAGATCGGTGTGTAATTAGGCATTTTACAGACGGTAGTAGAAAAATGAATTTATTTCATCACTGCAATTCATTGCAGCAAATTTGAAAAAGTTTTTTTTAAATATTCGAAGAGTAAAATTTATGAATGGTTTATAATTTTGTAGAAAATTAATCGTATTTTTCAAAACAAAAAAAAACCTTTTTGTAATCCAATGTCCGGAAGCGGTTACTTGACTTGAAAAAGTTCATTTAACTTTCGGTATCCGATACAGTTCAGGCGTGTGCTCATGAATTTCACAGATGAATACTAATACGCCCAAAGATACATTAAAATTGATTTTTTCTACTCCCGTCTGTAAAGTACTTAATTACGCACCGATCTACCGTGCGGGAAGCGTCGCTTTACTACGTCAGTTTCGTTTCTCACGAATCCGAGCCACTTCGGACATTTCCGGGATTTTACCGCACTAGTTTGAACCCTTTGAATTTTGACGTTTGCCAATTCTGACAGTCATGTCAGTGAATATATTCGAGTTTTGCGAAAATGTACCCAAAAACTGATGGTCGTAGAAAAAGTATAGTATGCAACACGTACGGTAAACTTTTTAACTTACTCGTTTATTAAACACTCGCTCCGCTCGCGTCAAATAAACTCGTGAGTCAAATGTCCTTTACCGCACTTGTTGCATAATACACTATTATAGAGTATAAATATTTCATTGCCAGAAATTTTTTCGTGGTTTGAAGGGTTCTATCGATTCCCAAAATTTCGTGCGCTATATAACTTGTATAATAAATGTCGCAATTAATATTACATACATTACATTAAAAAAATGTAAAAGTTCTAAATGTTAAATAAAAATGTAGTCTCATTATACATAACTACTTATTGAGAAACCTTTAGAAATTCCTTTTAGTATCTGAAGAAGCAGAATGAAGAATTATTTGCAATCCAGATGCAAGAACAAGTCATTTTAAAAGGCGTCTTCAGTATTGAAGAGGTTATGATAACAGCATTTTGCTTAAATTTTATCCTTAACCTAAAGTATCTGGTGGAAATAAGTTCTTTGATGGAAGGTATTTTTTCGGAATTCACCGTATACTTTGACTCAATAAAAAAAACTGAAAAACAAAGTTTTTAATTATGTTAATAAAATTTGCAAATAATTGAAAATTTCATAAATTATTATTCGTTCAAGGTGATTCTGAAATGGATAAATACTCCTTATTCTATTTAAATTGCCAAAGTGCAATGTGTTTAAAAAAATAAAATGTACTACCCATTGAAATAGATTACTATTTTTAAATGTAATAAGTAGTAGAATACAAATGGAGATACTTACCATGCTTTGATAAGCTGCTTTGTCGAAATTAAATTTCATTCTCGGTTCAATGCGAATTAATGATTAATTTATTTTTTAGTAGTACCAAACTACCATTTTTAGGTTTAGACCGACGGCTATACTGTTTTTAAGTTTGTTTTTGTTAAAGAATAATAATAAGTTATTTATTTATTTTTCTATTACTCTGTAAGTTGTACTTATGTGCTCAGATTTATAATAAAAAATTATGTTTCTAAATTTGAAGAATTTATTTCTTTTGTTTGATTTGATTTAATTTACCACATATTTATTCTTTCAAAAAACTGGCTTTAACCTGATATTTTTCTTATTTTCTGTGTAGCTATGTGCCCACTAAACATAAAGTAGCAAATTATACACAAATTCGTAATCATCCGTGGCCATTGAACTTTTAGAAAATAAAAAAATTATAATTTTTATATTTTATGCAATAGTGGAATTTTATTTACATAGAAAATAAAATTAATATCTTTTTACAAAACTTCTGGATTCCTCCTGCGTCGGTTTTTGCTAAGTCGAACTTGCTGACGTTTCGCCATTCATCCTGTTGGCTTCTTCAGAGCTCGTATTTTACTTTGTACCTGCTTATATATTGTTTGAGGGGGGGCGGAGCTAAATGAGGGGCATAAACACGGATTAGTGCGTAAATAGTGCGGAAATAGTGCGTAAAGCAAATATGACATACACGAACTTGTAAAATAACATGATTATACTTCTTATCTACCTATTTGTATGTAAATTATGCTACAAGTGTGGTAAACGGCATTTGACTCACGAGTTTATTTGGCACGAGCGGAGCGAGTGTTTAATAAACGAGTGACTTAAAAAGTTTACTAAACGTGTTGCATACTATTCTTTTTCTACGACCGTTGATTTTTGGGAACATTTTTGAAAAATACGAATACATTCACGGACATGACCGTCAGAATTGTCAAACGTTGAAATGCAAAACGGGTCAGTGCTAGTTCAAAGCAACCCATGGATATTTTGCGTGATCAAATAACGGTTTTACACAAAATAATAGGTGGAAATACACAGCAATGCACCTATATTTTGATATTAATATAACTGCATATGTATTCCAATGTAAAGAAAAATACCTGGAGTAATAGGGATTTTTTACATAACGGACAACTTAAATTTTAATGAAGTGACATTTAAATATTTTACTTAACGTTTTATGGAATATTTACTTCAATGACCAATGATAACACAGGTCTACAGTGATTTTGATGTTTGAAAGCTGTTTGCTTATTTATATATTTTTGGACGCCATTTTTCCAAAACACGGAATGTTCTTGCCCTATCACGTCATTTTTTTAGAGCGCGCTATATCTTAAAAATGTTATTTTATTACACACATACTTTTGACATGATTTTTTTAAATTAAATGTGATTTGGCAACACTGGATAATATTAGATTTCTCTGCAAAGCAATAGATGTGACGCAGAAGCGTCAATACAGCGTTATAACCTGCTTATGCGCAGTTTGATTGCATTGGTCGTCGTGCTACTGTGGTCGCAGCTGTTGTCTTCGTTTTTGCGCATTTCTAGTGTTGCGTTTGCGCTGAAGCATTAAGAAACTGGCAAAAAGGTTGGAAGAAATGTTTAAGCTTTGGCGTTCCTATACTATGGCGACACCCTAGGAATCACAGTGATGATTCTTGTTTTTGTTCATATATTATTTAAGGAGTCAACAGAAAAAATAAGAAACAAACAAAAACAAATTGGACTCAAATAGAATGGTCCTCTAGAACAAGCCTTACACCTGGTAGCAAAAATCTAGTAAGAGATAGCTTAATTGACCCCAAAGAAGTTTTACTGCCTCCTCTTCATATCAGACTTAGCTTAATGAAGCAGTATGTTAAAGCCTTACACCAAAATGGGCAGTGTTTCAAATAGTTGTGAAAGAAATTTCCAGCTATATCTGATGCCAAGATAAGCCGCAGATAAGAACATTATTCAAAGACAAGGATTTTGAAAACACAATGACCAGTCAAATCAAAAACGCCTGGGTTTCATTTAAAGAAGTAATGGAAGTTGCTTGGGAACCCTAAGGGCGAAAACTACGAAGGGATTGGTCAAAATATTTTACAAAATTTTCATCGTCTATGTTGTAATATGAGTTTAAAAGTGAATTTCCTGTTTTCACAATTGAACTATTTTCCTGAAAATCTTGGAGCAGTCAGCTAAGAACAGGGAGAGAGGTTTCGCCAGGACATTAAGGA